AACCCCAATCCCAAACTGCTCCTTCCTTATGCAGTCATATGGAGAATCCACAAGGCAGACTAGAGGGGCTAAGAGTCGACAGACTCCATGGTCGGTAGACAGGGAGAGAGGGGCCATGACCAGGTAATAAAGATGAGGAGCTTCCAAGATGACCTATTCCTCACTCTTCTGACCGGACACAGAAGCCTGGCACCTTACAACAAAGGCCTCCTGGGACTCTTCTCCCACCAGTGGGCTCCATCTGGTGTTCTGGCTCGATAAGTTCCCGGCTTTTTCAGGACATGTCACACAACAGTTGTGGACCAATCACCATCCCATCTTTCTTCAAACTGACCAGCCCTTAATCAAAAGAGAAAACTCTTCAGAGACTTAAAAATCTCCAGCCCCCAAGAAGAGGCTTGACTTTTTGGCTTTCTGAGCCTCCCCCAACCCCCTCTGCTTTGCAGAGGGTCTTTGTGTCTTATTTGCTGCATGTGTGTTTCCCCGCAGCCAATAAACAGCTTTCTTCAACTATCTGCTCCTGTTTGCTGTGTTTGAGATTCCTCTGCTGCTGTCTCACTCAGTGTTGGGAGCTGTGAGCCCCAGATCCTGAATTTCTTGTAAACAACTTGTTTTCCCCTGATCTGAGTGCCTACAGCTGCTCTGAGCACGAGACCTTCCAGGAGTTCCTAATGGCAGGGGAATGGTTTCTGGTGCATTTGGCTGGGGCGTTGATGTGGGAAGGTCATTTGTCAATCTGTTGTTTCATTGGTAAATCAATAAAGAAAACTGCTTGGTCTGATAGGTCAGAAAATTAGGTATGTGGAGTAGACAGAACAGAATGCTGGAAAGAAGGGAAGTGAGCCAGACGCCTCCTCTCCTCTCTGGTCAGATGCAATGAAGCTCTAGCCCAAGATGGACGTACATTAGAATCTTCCTGGTAAGACACCATCTCGTGGCGTTACACAGATTATTAGATATGGGCTAAAGCAAGATATGAGAGTTAGCCAATAAAAGGCTGAAACTAATGGGGCAGGCAGTGTTTAAATGAATACAATTTGTGTGTTATTATTTCGGGTAAAGCTAGCCGGGTGGCGGGTAGCAGCCTGCCGTTCCAACTACAGGGCGTGGCTATCCCTATATAGGCTGCCCCTGAACGCAATAGAGGGGGCATCCTTGGGATTTCTGGCATCAAAGATGATCCGTGTCTCTGTCTCTCTGTCTGTGAGTCTGTGTGTGTTTCAATCTCCAGCCCCTTGCCCGGTTCACGAACGGTATGGCGGCGCATAGAGCACAGATAGGCGCAGTGTGCTACACTCGAGATCTATCCTGCCTTTTAATTCTTTAACTGGCAAAGAAAACTAGCTGAATTAAGACCCCCAGACTATGTCAGGCTTGTCCACATGCTGTGGCCCACTGGCAAGGCCAGTTCCGCCCAACAAACATGTTGACTGGCTGGCACACCAGACCGAGCACATAAGTGTCAGAACCTCTGCAGGGTTGGGAATGCAACTCACACAAAGCCCTGGGTTCAGTCTCTAGTACTTGGGACACAGAGGCAGGAGGAGCTGAAGTTTAAGGTCATCTTCAGCTACATAACAACTTTAAGGCTGGTCTGGACTGCATGAGTTCCTGTGTTAAAAAAACAAAAATCTGGGCTTAGGCTGGGGCCAAGGCAGAGTTCTCCCCCACTCCCCAAAGGATCCTAGGGGGCAGAGGTTACAAGTTGTCATGTTGGAAACTTTGATGGGTTCTTGAACATACAGTCCCCTGGAAGTCTTGTTTTGTTTTGTTTTTGTTTTTGTTTTTCGAGACAGGGTTTCTCTGTAGCTTTGGAGCCTATCCTGGAACTAGCTCTTGTAGACCAGGCTGGCCTCGAACTCACAAAGATCCTCCTGCCTCTGCCTCCCGAGTGCTGGGATTAAAGGCGTGCGCCACCACCGCTCGACGGAAATCTTGTTTAAAACGCAGGTTCTGATCAGTAAGTCTGAGTGGAGCCTCAGAAACTGCAATCCTGGTAGACTCCCAAACACAGCAATGCTGGCTTCCTTGGAGTATCCCCTGGAATGGAGATCTGGCAAGTTTCAGGGGAGTCTGAAAGCTTCCAGGTCCAGAGCTGTGCTCCCCCACCCTGAGAAATAGGAGCAGAGTGGTCCAATGCACCCCCCTGGCGTATCTCTGTCTCTTGACATAAGGCAAAAGCACATGCTTCCTCCAGGAGCCTTAGAATGGGCTGCACTGATCTACCATCACCTGGTGACTCTAAGCCCCAGGCAATGGTCAACTCAGTTCAGAGTCTCTGGAGCGAGGACTCTCTCCACCCGCACCTGGATGAGTGACCTTCAGAATCTGCCATCCAAATTCTGCGAAGTTTCACACACAAGGAGGGCCGAAATACACAGCTGCAATCTTCCAGCCCATATCCTGCTCCAGTTAGTCTGCAGCCAAATCTCTGCCCCCTGACAGATGTCTCCAGAAGGATGCTACTATGTGGCCCAAATGGTTGTCATAAAACTTGTGGTTTTTTGTCCCCATTCCTGCGGCTTTCAAGAGTATTTTATTGGCCTTCCTGTATCGCATTAGTGCAGGAGGGTGGAACCCTTGAGAAATCACAGATATGGGGGAGAGAGGGACTCCAATCTTACGGGGCTGAAGAAGTCAGTTTTAACATTCGAGGTGTCCCCACATGTTCTCCTAATGGCAGGATCATCTTTCCCAGACAAGGCAGCCCCACTGCCCATCACCTCTACCTTTCCTGTCCATGCCCTTAGGCAAGGCCACTAGGGGGCAGTGTGGATACACAGAGCAGCCTCACTGGGTCCCAATCTATGACTTCTCCCATAAAAAGCCACTGAGTCCTCTTGTTATGAGAATCCCTGAGCTAGGATCCTTGCCTTGCTGACTTCAGATGAACTCCAGCATCCTCTTGGGGCTCAAGTAGGAGCCAAGGTTACCCTGAGAGCTTCCTAGTCACAATTCCTGGTCAGAATATGTCTGCAATGTGGAGCTACCACAAATCAGCAAGTCTGAGCGTTCCACTACATTAATCCATTAAATTATTTTTCACATTTTAGTGTGTGTGTGTATGATGGTGTGGAGTGCCTGTGGGGGTCAGAGGACGACTTGTAGGGGTCAGTTCTCTTCCTTCTACCACATGTGTCTTGGTGATTGAACTCAGGTTATCAAGTTCTGTGGCAAACCTGCTTTACCCTACGACCCACCTCACCGAGCCTGTGCCGTTCCTTACATCTTTCCATGCCGAGCTTTACAGTTAGTGTTCCTTACCCGAGAGGCTTCCATCTTTCTGGCATTCACAGGAGGCTGAAGCAGAAGGATTGCCACAAGTAAAAGGCCAACTGGGGATACAGAAGGGACCCTGTCTAAAAAAAAAAAAAAAAAAGCAAGAAAGAAAACAAGAAGATATGTATATTCATATAGATGTGTGTTCATATATACATTTATACAGCCTCACTGAAATGTCAGAAAGAGAACTTGTAGGTCAGAGAAATTCTCAAAGGTGTGAAAGCAGATGGGATTGGCCTGACCTCAGAATTCAGCAAGCAGTTGAAATGCCTACAGCAGGTATACAGCACCACGAATTCTTCATGTGCAGAAGGAAACAGTGACCCCACAGGCAAGAGGTGATGATTCTTTCCTTGGTGGTATGCAGGCAATCAACCAGGCCAGTCAACCCTCACCTCAGGCCACCACCACTGGCCAGACAACATCTGGGATGAATGCCTGCTACTAGCAAGAAAGTATTTTGGGAGAAGTAGCAATCAATGCGTAGGGGCCCCATGCCCCGAGGAGGCAGTGCCTGCCTGAGAGAAAAATCACACACCCAGCAAGCAGAGGTTCTGACGGGAAGTCTCACTTACAAAAACGAGCACCCAGAAATCACTGTGCACTTGTGGAAGCCAGCTCCATGGGAGGAAAACATTTGTATTCGTCAAAACATGCAGACTCGGGAAATGTAAGCTGTGCCAACTTATTTTATATCAACTTGACACAAACTAGAGTCTTTTTGGAAGAGGAAACCTCAACTGAGAAAATACCCCACCAGACTGGCCTTGGGGGCCCTTTTCTTGATCGATGATCGATGGGGGAGGACCCAGCCCACTGTGGGTGGTGACACACTTGGCTGGTAATCCTGGCTGCTATAAGAAAGCAGGCTGGGGCCTGGAGAGATGGCTCAGTGGCACTGACTACTCTTCCAGAGGACCTGGGTTCAATTCCCAGCACCCACATGGCAGCTCAAAGCTGTCTATAAAGGACTGGAGAGATGGCTCTGCGGTTAAGAGCACTGGCTGCTCTTCCAGAGGTCCTGAGTTCAATTCCCAGCAACCACATGGTGGCTCACAGCCATCTGTAATGAGCTCTGGTGCCCTCTTGTGGCCTGCAGGCATACATGCAGACAGAACATTGTTTACATAATAAATAAATAAAGCACAGTGCCACCTTAAAAAAAAAAAAAAGGTGTCTATAACTCCAGCTCCAGGAGATCTGACATCTTCACACCAATGCACACAAAATAAAGTTAAATAAGTTATTTTCGACAAATAAAACAGGCTGATCAAGTCATAAGGAGCAAGCCAGGAAGCTGCACTCCTCTATGTTCTTTGCTCCAGTTCCTGCCTTGAGTTCTTGCCCTCCCGCCTCCCCCCCCACCGCCCCCCCCCCCCCGCAATGATGGACTACAGACTATTAAATCCTTTCCTCTCCAAGTTGCTTTTGGTCACTGTTTTTATCACAGCCATGGAAACCCTAAATAAGCCATAAATTCATCACAAAAGAGCTGGACAGCGGGGCGATGGTGGTGCACGCCTTTAATCCCAGCACTCGGGAGGCAGAGGCAGGTGGATTTCTGTGAGTTCGAGACCAGCCTGGTCTACAGAGCTAGTTCCAGGACAGGCTCCAAAGCCACAGAGAAACCCTGTCTCGAAAAACCAAAAAAAAAAAAAGAGCTTGACACAGACAAAGAATGGCTTTATTTGTCTATCAAGGACTAGGTGCTCAGAGAAGATAATACAAATTTAAGCAAAACCCACCCAACAAGGCAAAGAGACCTTCTAGTGAAGGGGAGCCCACCCCAAGGACCACACCTAAGCTAGGTGGAGAGGAAGGGATGTGACCTCCACCCTGGAAAGATCTTAGGCTCTTAGCTCCTAGGGCACTCAGCAGCAGGTCACCCCCAAATGTGACTGTTTCGAGGCTGCTCCCTCCCTGGAATTCTGGGTGGGAAACCCCTTGCCTGCTGCAGCTGCTGAGTTTGTCAAACCATTCGTGCTTCAAGCCTCCCTTCTTTTATACAGAATTGTGGGTGGGCTTCCAACCCCACCTTACACACACGAAGTATCAAAGCGGCTACAAAGGAAATGGCGGAGACACCTAATTAGTCTTTGAAATCCAGCTTCTCACAGGATTGTCACTGCCCTGTAACTGCAGAGGCAGGTGGGACTATAACTCCCTCGCCTCAGCTACCCTCTATGTCAGTTTGGAATGAGGGGCCACTCAAGCTCTCCTAAACCTAGGAAGTTTGGGGAAGCCACAGTCACCTCGGGCATTTCTGTTCCCAGTCTTGGGTTCAGGAAAGTTGAGGAAGGGCTAAGATGCTAACACAGATCATATGGTAGGGTGTCTCCTCACAGGGCTGTATTCTCAACTTGGACCCGGGGGCCAAAGAGCTGCTCAGCAACCACCTTGCCATCGTACTTGGGCAGTGTACCCCCAAAGTCAGCAGGCAAGATGTTCTCGTCAATCTCCTGGAAGAAGCTGTCGAGGTCATCTCCGTGGACAAAGACCTGCAGGGAAGTGAGCAGGGCAACTGAGTGGAAGGAAGAGGGAGGAGGGGAGGACAAAGCTGCTGCGGGCTGTCTTTGCCTGATGCCTTTCTCTACAGTCCTCCGTGTGGAACTGTGGGAGTGGGTTGTCCACTCAACTTGGGACCAGTGTGCAGTGTCTGAGGAGGCTCAGGAGGCAGACATGAACTCACCCTCTGTAGCAACTTGTTCTTCAAGAAGGGCTTGACCACATTATAGGTGGTGGTGAAGTACCATGGCTGGTGGATGAAGTGGATAGCTTTAAACCTGGCTGGGAATGAATCCTGGAGAGGAAGGGAGAGAGAGGGAGAGAGAGAGAGAGAGAGAGAGAGAGAGAGAGAGAGAGATATCCCATCACCTCATTGCCCCAGTGGACTCTGAAGCTCCTACTTATCAGCACACACACACATATGCTCACACATGCACACATGTGCACACATACACGCTCACAATGCACACATACATGGACACACGTACATGCACACACATGCTCACACATTGCACACATACATGCACACACACAGACACAGGCTCTCCCCGTATAGTGAGGACTGATTTGTGCAGCATCACATGTTGACCTGAGTATAGCTCATCCCAGGGCCAGCCACTCGAGAACTTTGGCTTCACTTTGGCTCCAAGGTATAGGGAGGAATCCCTGCAAGTTACACAGCCTAAAGCTGTTCCATGGTGCAAAACAAAAACAAAACTGAAACCCTAGAAATAATTTGTTTTAAAGGATAAAATGGTAGCCTTGCTTGGTTATTTGGTGATTATGTGTTTGGGGTGTGCGTTCTGTGTGTGTGTATGTGTGTGTATGTTCTGTGTATTGGTATTAGGTGTGTGTGTTTTGGTATTAGGTGTGTGTGTTTTGGTATTTGGTGTGTGGTGTGTTAGTATTATTTATTGGTTTTGCGAGACATGATCTCATGTGTCTAAAGCATGACATAGTTGAGTTATGACCTTGACCTTCCAATTCTCCTGCCTCTTGCTTCTGAGTGCTAGAATTACAGGCATGTGCTACAATGACCAGTGCTAGGAATAGAGCCATATCCCCAATCAGAGTGATTGAGGTTTTTTCAAACCACTTGTGTACTGGGTGGATGGCAAACCATTATAGACCAAATGTAAGGACATCATTGTCAAGCCTCCTTGTCCTTCAGCAACTGCCATGTATACCCATATCTCCAGCCTCTTCTTTCCCAACACACACAGGGCAAATGTAAGGTAGCTCAAGGAAGAGAATGGGGGTTATCTGTATATAAAGGACTCATAAGGGGACTGGTGATGTGCTGTCCTCAGGATAAACTCACAAGCAAAAAGAGACGGCAGGATATACATGGCCAGACAGCCTGAGGTTCCAGGATCACTCGCATGGAGTCAAATCCAGCCTCTGCCACTCTACTGTGTGTGACCTTGCAAAGTCGCTTAACCTCCAAGCCTCAATTTCCAGGTTTGTAAGATGAAGCAGAGGAAATGGAGGAGAATCCTCTCAAGGAGTCAACGAACTCATAACCATCTACTTAACAGACTCAATCACCATGCAAGTGCGATGGTTGTTGACTGTTGAGATGACTGTAGTCACTGCTCTGTATAACACTAGATTGTCAACTCCTCGGGTTTCTTCCTGTATCGTGGAAACTGGGAAACCACCTGTGAAAGGTTACCATGGGGCAGATTCCAAGGTCTCACCTGGAGCATGTCCACCATCTTCTTGAGATCCGAGGGGCGGAGTCCCGCCGCCTGTTGCATGGTGAAGCCCTTAAAATTCTCAACGATACAGAAGCCATTGATTTGTGTTTCCTCATTCTCCAGCAGTTTCTCCAAAATGAAACAATATGCCTGCAAAATCTAGAAGCGCGGGGGCTGGGTGTGTGGCTCGGTCATAAGCCCCAGAGTTGATCTCAAGCCTCACAAAGCCGGGAGCACAGCAAGCAGGGTTTAAGATCCAACCCACAGAGGTGATTAAATCTCAGGGTCCCAGGTAGAGAGCCAACTGGCACCTTCCTCGCTGCAGGAATTTGCCACACATGCCCCCTTCCCAGAATACATGCTAATAAAATAAACACCAGATGTCATGTTCATGATTAGAAGCCACTGAGTCTATCCCAGCACTTTTATAATGTTGGAAACCACTAGAAACGACCTGAGTATCCAGTAAGAGAGGGGTGAAATGAAGGTAGGTTTATTTAAGCGATGGACTATTGTGAAGCGGTAAATCATTAACAATATGGGGGACTCTTCATGATATTTCATAACACAGAAAAGTCTCGTGTTGATTTTGTTCTGCCTTAGTTCATTTGTTGGTGCTAGAAATCAATTGGTGGAGTCTTGGTCGCGCTAGGCAAGCACTATGCTACTGAGCTGTATCTCCAGCCCTTGGATTTCTTGTTTATACAGGGTCTAACTTTGTAGCTCAGGCTGGCCTTGAAAACTTGTTTAGCCCAGGCTAGCTTTGAACAAGAGGTCCTCCTTCCACCAACTCCTGAATGCTGGAATTGTAGCTCTGACTGCCATTATCCTGCCTGTTGGATTCCACGTTTCCCTGATCCTTTTTCCTTCCCTCCATCTTTCCCTCCCTCCCTCCTTCCCTCTCTTCCTCCATTCCTCCCTACTTACTTCCTTCTTTCCTCCCTTCCTTCCTCCTTCCCTCCCTCTCCTTCTCCCTCCGTTTCTTTCCCCCTCCCTCTCTCTCTGCATTACTTCCCTTCTTCTCTCCCCCATCTCTTTTTCAGTACTGGGGACTAAACCCAGGGTACTGTAGATTACTAAGCCGTATCACCAGCCTCTTTTCCCTTTGCATTTTTAGGCAGTCTTACTAAGTGACCCAGGCTGGCTTTGAACTCGCTCTGTAGTCCAGACAAGCTTTAAATCTATAATCAGTCCTCTTGCCTCAGCCTCCCTAGCAGATGGGTGTATGGGCCTGTGCCACCAAGAATGACTAAGGAAAGCCTGGCAATGGTGGCACACGCCTTTAATCCCAGCAGTCAGAAGGCAGAGGCAGACAGATCTCAGTGAGTTCAAGGCCAGCCTGGTCTACAGAGTAAGTTCCAGGACAGGCTCCAAAATTACAGAGAGAAACTGATGACTGATGATCCCACAGTTATATATAAATTGTGTGTGTGTGTGTGTAAAATAAATTGGAAGAATACAGAGGTAAAAAAAAAATCTAGGTCACAGAATTATAAATTATTTTAAGTTTTCAATTTTTGCATATTCTAAAAAGAATAGATACTGTTTACATAATAAGAAAAGTGCATGTTTTTTAATTTTTTTCTCTAAAAAAATATACCTTTAGTTGGAGCTAGAGAGATAGCTTTGTGATTAAGAGAGCTTGCTGTTCTTACAGAGGACCTGAGTTTGGATCTCAGTACCCACATCAGGGGGCTGGCTCATAACTACCTCTAAGTGTAACTCCTGCTCCAGGGGAGCTGATGCCTCTGGCTTCTCCAGGAACTAGCGCACACATTTTATTTAAAATAAGCCAGATAGTAGAGACCCTGTGACAGGGTTTCTTTGTGTAGCTGGGACTAAAGGTGTGCATCGCCACTGCCTAGCTTGTTTTAATTTTTATTATTATTTATTTATGATGAAGATGTTGGTGCCACTGATGCGGGAGTAACAGGAGACTGTGAGCAGCTTGGCATGTGTGCTGAGAATAGAACTCAGGTCCTCTGCAAGAGCAGCAAATGCTCTAACCGCTGAGCCGTCTCTCCAACCCTCCTCCCCAAAATAATATGTCTTTCTTTTTTTTAAAAGCTTTAATTCTGTATCTAGTATCTTGTTACTGCGAAGGCCTAGTAACACCCTTAATAAGAGCCGACATAAGGTAGAGATGTTGGCTATGTCCATCACCATTTAACGAGAGCAAAGGGCTGGCCAGTGGAATCTAATTTCTTCTTAAAGCCTGGGGTCTAAAAAGTAGAAAAGGTGAAGAAGACAGTCCCCTGTATTTACATACACTAGTATACTTAGAAACACAGAAGGCTGGGAACTCGGCTCACTTGGTAGAGTACCTGTCTAGAATGTGTGAAGCGCTGGGTTTGATCCCCAACACTGCCTAAAACCAGGTATGTTGGCACAGGCCTGTAAACCACAACATAGTAAGGGAAGCACAAGTTTGAATGCTATCCTTAACTACATCGTGAATTCCAGGCCAGCCTGGGATACCCGTGACCATTTCAAAACAAAAGTAAGAAAGGAGGAAAAATGAAAGAAAGAAGAAAAGAATAAAGGAAAATCCTTCTTTCCCTTAGTCAGCCCTCTTAAAGGCTTAAACATAGGAGCACACGGAAAGCAGATAGTTAAGTAGGACAGAACCTGTATCTTCCAGAATCTTCCAGCCCACAGCCCTCTGATCCTCGTTTCTCTGTTGCTCTCAGCTTTCAGTGTTTGGCAGGGTTTCCGTCAGCTCCTGGCCCATAGTTGCTGTCCCCAGTTGGTGTTGCTGGGGATAACCAGGCCAGTGGGCTCTACCTACAAAGCCGTGGGACTTCCCTGCTCTCCTGGAACACCCCAGGGATTCTCTCCCCATGTGGAAAAGGCCTGGTGGCAGGTGGCTGCCTGCCCTTGTCCCTCACAGACCTTGCCTCCTGGTCAATCCAACAACAAAAACAACAGTTAGGACAGAGAACCCAGCTGACCTCATCAAAGGTGACTTCTTCGCAGTGCCAATTTTCAATGTTGAAGAGCATAACCACTCGGCCGTACTTGTCCCGGCTGGAGAGGACGCCGGGGTAACCAGCCTCGATAGTGCAGCGGAGGGCCTCCATGGACAGGCTGTCGAAAAGCTCAGGGTACTGGAGCCGGAAGTTCACATAGCCTGCAAGAGGGAGAGTTAAGGAGCCATTCTGGAGGCCATTCCAGCCACGCTCACCCACCTTCTCAGGAGGCACATGGTGAGAATCAGGAGAACCAGCTGTCTGCGCCCCAAGTTTTCTTTCCACGAGATTGGCCTGTCCCCCACAAATGTTGGGGCAATTACACATGGTTCACAATGTTCACCTAGTGAGCTGTCCTGAGGTACAGTCCTTCATATGAAAGTGATCATATGTGTTAGGTCCCTTCCCTTGGGGACAAGGCACAGGCTGTCAACTGGGCACAGGGCCAACTGAGTGGGTGGCTGGGCAGTGCTGAGGAAAAGCCTGGGAAGATAACTCAAGGCCCCCAGCTAGACTCAGAGGCTCTTCCCAATTCGGGCAGTGCCTACATTGCCCACAAATACCATTCTTACTGTCCATGAACAGGTCCCTGCCTTCCTGTGGCCATCTGTGCCCCCAGGCTGGGGCCCATTGGAGGGGTTTAGGGAACAATGTTAAAAAACTGCCAACACTTTGCTGCTGTTCTAGAACATTCCACTCTTCATTCCCCACCCAGGGTTTCTCTGTAGCTTTGGAGCTTGTCCTGGAACTAGCTCTTGTAGACCAGGCTGGCCTCGAACTCACAGAGATCCGCTTGCCTCTCTCCCTCCAAGTGCTGGGATTAAAGGCGTGCGCCACCACCGCCCGACTGAACATTCCACCCCTATCCTGCCTCACATTTGCCTTGCTGTGCCCTCAGCCTAGTTACACAGGTGTCTAATTTCCTTGGGGTTTATTTTCAAGTCTTCCTTTGCCGTGGGAGCCTTTCTAGATACTTCATAGGCAGCTTCGATCTTCTGCTCTTTATAGCCGACTGCTCATTCTTCTCCTTGCCCCTTGCCACTCAAACTCTACCTAGGTGTTCTAGCCATCAGGTGCATTATTCCCACCAATAGAATGTAAGTTCTACAACAGCGTGGGCTGCTTGAGCTCAATGCCCTAAAACAGCGGCGGGCCCAGGGTGGCACTGACTTGACATCTGGGTACAGAGGAGAAAAGTAAAAATGGAAAGGCAGTAGGCTGCAGGCCGCTTCTTCCTCTTCAGCCCTTCCCTCTGTAGACACCAAAGACTTGATTTCTTCAGGAAATGCGTTTCTCCACCCAGCATGCCCGTGGCAGTTCTGTCCCAGCTCCCCATCCCCAAGGTAAGCACCATCTTTGGGTCGACTGGGGTTGAAGTTTAGTGTCGGGTAAGTGCATGCAGGAGGCACGACTTCACCACCTGGAACATCCCAGAGCCAAAGGTGGGGATCCAAAGGAAACACCTTCCTTCGTTGCCTAAATGTGGTACCTGAATTCTACTCACTGAGTTCCAAGACTGACAGAGAAGAGATTCTTCTAGGAATCTGGCCTTTACCATCTAATTTTGTCCATCTATCTATCCATCCATCCATCCATCTGTCCGTCCATCCATCCACCAGCTGACAGTGCCCAAGTGATCTTAAGGACTACTCCGTTCACACACATGTGCACCCATGTGTGTGCATACGCACTCACATGAAGTATATGGAGACAGTGACTATGTCACGGCATAAGAGAATTTTCTTTACTGTGGGAAGGGCAGACACCCTCCTCAAAACGTCCTCTTACCTGGCAGGGCCAGCCCTCCAGCACAGGCCTTACCTTTGAGCAACTCATAAGCGCGGCCCACGTCGAACTTGCGAGCACGGATGAAGCGCAGGAGAAAGGCGCTGTCCCTGGCCTGGACCCTCTCGGCCACCGCCAGGGCCAACTCCTCCCCTGAAGCTGCCTGAGCCTGTACCAGTTCCTGTAGCTCCCTCACGGCCTCCTCCCGGGTCTCCTCCTTCTCATTCAGCTCATCCTTGGCCTGTAACAGGGTGAGATGGGGCAGAAGTTACCTTAGAGGTGCTAGTGAGGAACAGGGCGAGTGTGGGAAGGCTCAAATCCAAATTGGCCTGCTGGGAGAGCCCAGGGCTCTGCAGTTTGAGCCTTACTCCTCCTGTGCCCTCCAGGGTCAAGGAGTGGCATGCTGCTTTCTTATAGACATTTGCTTTTGGAGAGTGTCAAACTGTTCAGCCTGGATGCGAGATATTGACGGCAATGACTTTCTAACAAATGCCCGTGTGTACCGTGCTCGGTCCTCTAGATACATTGTGTGTGTGTTTAATTTACTGACTTTATTCATTGTATATGTCAGTGTTTGGCCTGCACATATGTCTGTGTACCATATGCGATCTTGGTGCCTGCCTGAGAAGGTCATAAGAGGGCATCGGGTCCCCTGGGACTGGAGTTATGAAAAGCTGTGGACCACCACTGGGTACTAGGCATCCAACCCGGATCCTCCGCAGGAGCAACAAGTGCTCTTAACCGCTCAGCCATCTCTCCAGCCCTACACTGTGTGTTTGATTTTTGCCATGATTCATTGTGGGGGTTTCTTTGTTTTTTATTTATTATTTTGTTCTGTGTTTTTAGTTGCCTTTTGCATTTATGTGTTTTTACATGTATGTTTAGGGGGCACACAGGATGTTCATGTGGAAGCCAGAGGACGACTTGTGGGAGCTGTGTACTTGGGATAAAACTCGTTTGGTCAGGTTTGATGGCAATCAATGAGTCAATGAGCCACCTCACCAAGCCCTTATTTTTGTTTTGTTTTTGTGTTTTGTTTGTTTGTCTGTTTTGGGTTTTTGTTTTGTTTGGGAGTTGTTTTTTGAGACAGGGTTTCTCTGTGTAATAGCCCTGGATGTCCTGGAACTTGCCTTGTAGACCAAGCTGGCCCCAGACTCACAGAGATCCACCTGCCTCTCCCTCCCAAATGCTGGGATTAAAGGCGTGCGCCACCACCACCCAACCTTTGGTTTGTTTTGTGAGACAACGTTTCTAAGCCAGGCTGACCTCAATTTGACGTAGAGCCAAGGTTGACTTTGAACTGCTGATCCTGCTTGTACCTCCCGAGTGCTGGGATTACAGGCATGTGCTACCATGCCCAGTTTTATGTGACACTGGAGGAGGAACACAGAATCTCAGGGACTTTAGACAACTGTTAAATGAGTCACACCCCCAATCTGGTTAGTTTTTGTTTTGTTTTTTGTTTGTTTGTTTGAGACAGGATCTCTATACGTAACCCAGGCTGGCTTTAAAACTATAATTCTCCAACCTCTGTCTCCCAAGTACTGGGTCTACAGGCATGAACCACTATACTTGGCAAGTTGGTGTTCTTCTGCCCGTCTCCCAGAAGAGCAGGCTAAGGGGGCTAGAGGTGATGTGTTCTTGTCCTAGTTCCCCAAGGAGGAGGACGGCTCCCTCCCTTCACCCAGTGACCTCCCAGACTTGAGGCAGCAGGAAGGAGAAAGGATTCTGCTCTGCCCACCCCATCCCTATTGTGCTCCTTACCAGGTTGCCCCAGACAGCGCTTCACCCGCTCCCACTCTGGCACCTCACCTTCTGCAAAGTGTGGCGAGGGAGCTGGCTGCACAGGCCAAAGACGGGACCATGGTCCTTGGTTGTGAGCTGCTCCAGCTGTGCCCGGAGCTCCTGCTCCTCTTCAGGGACCATTCGGAATGTGCCCACCTGAGCAGAGAGGAGTCATGTGGAAGATCGGACAGCTCCATCCCAGCCCCCACTCCAACAGCCAGGACCACTGGCATAGGGGGCTTGCTGAGATCTTGCATACTCCCTTTGGCCAAGAACTTTGCTAAGCCTCCTCCCTTTGGCAGATGGGGGGCCCCAGAGAGATGGTCACAGTGTAGGGAGGAAGGAAACAAGGGAAGAAGAGCCCAGGCTACTCACCCCCTCTGACATATTGCCTCTCGAAGACACTGAGGGGAAAGAAAGAACCTGTTTGCTCTGCCCTGGCCTCTCCAGATGGCCTGTCCCCAGCAGCCAAGGAAGTCAGGACTGTGGTGATATTGGAGGAATTGTTCTGTTTGTCCTAGAACAGTGGCTCTCAAGCATTCAATCCCCCCACCCCTGCTAGGTGATTGGCCAGAAATTCAGATGCATGGGTCCTGGTTCCTGAGATTCTGACTAGAGAGCTAAAATTAGGGTCCCCCCTCCCCCACCCAGCTCTGAAGGACAAGGTTCCTGGGGTACACTTTGGGAACATGCCTTTGGAAGGAACACACCACTAACACCCTACTCCAGCTGTGGCTAGCTAGGAATAAACCAGAAATGGACCCCATTCTCAGCTACAGGGCCAGGTCACTATAATAAGGGAACCTCTTTTCCATTCTGGAAGCCTTCCTTCCCCAGTGCAAATGGGCACCCCAGAAACCTCTCAGCCCAGGGGATGGCTCTGTCCCCAGTGCATTCGAGCGTGTGTGTTCAGGGCTAGGTGGCACACTAAGAACTTTCAAATTCATTGTCTCAGAGCCAGGCGTGGCAGCACTGTTCCTGTTTTAGCTAAGGAAAACCAGAGCCAGGAGTGTAAGCGACTTGTGGTAACACAGCCCAAGGAAGCCGGGGACCGGAAACCTACCTAAGCTGTGACTCCGGTAGGCAGCAAGGAGCAGTCTGGGACAGCTGGATGTGGGTCCTGGGTTCAAACCCTGTCTTTCACACTTGCAAGTTGAGTGATTTCACGTGAGTCTTGACTATTCCCTGCTGGGATGGAAGGGTTGTGAGATGTAATTGAATAACGTGCACACCAGCAGCCCTGGGCCACCAGAACAGATTTCAGTCATGGCCCATATGTTCCCAGACTTTCTCCTCCCAGGCCTAAATGTCCCCAAGTGACTGTGAAGATCTTCAGTTCTGTTTCTACCCGTGACCAGAGTCATTTGGTCAGCTCAGCTATATACTCATAGCTGCTAAGTAGCTGGGACTTGAACCTGTGTCTACCTGACACTGAATCTCTTTGATGCATCCAGTCTTGTCATCTCTGTGCAAGCTCCTCTGTGTGTGTGTGTGTGTGTGTGTTTGTGTGTGTGTGTGACCGAAACCTTGTAGGCTAGAGAGATCTGGATTTGAAACTGGCTTTTGCCGCCTGTGTGACCATAGGGAAGTTATTTAATCTCGACTGAGACTGAGAGCAGATTGAGGACAATAGAATCTACCCAAAGCGATTGTCCATGACGACCACAGGGTTTTTGGGACATAATCTAGAGTGGAATCTTGCTCTACAACAGAGCCCACTCTCCCTTTCTTAGCATCACACCAAAATGAACCCAATTTGTCCACTAAAACTTGAGGATCCCAGAGACTGAGTGTCTCCCACCTTCTGGATCTATCCTTTCCCTACCATAGCCCTTCAAGGACAAGGGAATTCTGGGGGCTTGAATCTGCCTATAGGAACCAAATATGGGCTGGAGAGATGGCTCAGCGGTTAAGAGCACTGGCTGCCCTTCCAAAGGTCCTGAGATCAATTCCCAGCAACCATATGGTGGCTCACAACCATCTGTAATGAGATTTGCATTACATGGAGGCAGAATGTTGTATACATAATAAATAAATCTTAAAAAAGAAAGGAACCAAATACAAGCCAACTTTTTGGAGAGCAGACATTCATCCGAACATATGGGCATAAAGACCAAGGGTGGAGTACAGTGGCACACACCTATAATGCCAGCACTTGGGAGAGAGAGGCAAGAGGATCAGAGGTTAAGGTTATTCTCGGCTAAATAGTGAGTTCAAAGCCAGCCTGCACTACATGAGACTCTATCTCAAAAAAACAAAAAGCAAAAGCTGGGCATGGTGGTGTGGTGGTGTACCTCTTCAATCCCAGCACTTGGATATTTGCGTTTGAAGCTAGCCTGATCTACACAGGACATTCCAGGACAGTCAGGACTATGCGGGGGGGGGGGGGGGGACCCTGTCTCAAACAAAGCAAAGCAAGAATGAAGAACTTGAGAGGGATTAGTGGATACCCTCAGCCAGATAAGCAGATCGCGAGCGCAAGACCCAGATCTTAGAAAGAGAAGATTCAAGTCAGCACAGAGAAGTAGTTAGCTCTTATTTTTATAAAGTGCTTATTCAGGATCTGTATGCACGTATGTCATGAAAACATGCTCCCCCCAGCTCCACATCGTCGTTCTCTGCCATTTAGAATTGGCAAATAAAACACAGTTAATTACAAAGGTATTTGATCATCTGCAGTTCTAATTGAATTAGGTACTCCACATTTGTATGTGCTGAGTCTGCCTGTAGAAGGGTCTGGCTCACCCTGAAGAACGGCACACTGCTTTTCAGGCAACCAGAGCAGTCTGAGAGGTGGTGAACCCCACCCCATCCGACCACTCACCCCCACACACTGTCTTATGCTCCCCGCCAGCCTTGTTACTGACTCACTTACCTGACAGCTCGTCCTTGGGACTGCGGAAGCCTCTGAATTGTTCTGGCGCTTTGGAAACTGCCTCCTTTGGAGGTGTGGTCAGGTCAGCAAGCTCGGATTAGTGTGTCACAAGGAACTTCTCAGACCCACTGTTTCCATCAAATCAGGCTCACAAGAGGCCCAGAGTGAAACAAGCAGAACATCCTGAGGGAGAGGGGAGAGGCCCAGCCTGCGGGCAGCCATCAAAGCCTCGCTTTGTGAGCTTCTGCCTGAAGCTCTGTTCAGCCATGTGGAAGCCACTTCTCTGGGATCTGGGCCAGCCCCATCCCATTCACCTGCCCTCTCCCTTCTCAAACTGGGAGGCAGGGGAGCCTGGGAGAGTGAGCACTCACTCCCCACAAAGGGGAGGACATATACAGAAATGAAGAGAAATTGTAAATGTGGTCTTTAGAGTGATCCAGGCCTGTGGTCCACTGTCCCAATGTGAGGGAGACGGACCTGGTGAAGCTGAGCAGGGGAGGACCTGCCATGTAGCCTAAGCTGACCCCAAACTACACAGCCCCACTTGTTCAGATGTGTTTGTGGGCTGCTGAGGATTGAACCAGGGCCTGACACATGTAATAGCTCCATTTCACTGCATGGTGGTGGCCCACACCTTAATTCCAGCACTCAGGAGGCAGAGACAGGTGAATCTCTGTGAGTTTGAGGCCAACCTGGTCTACAGAGGGAGTTCCAGGACAGGCTTCAAAGTTATAGAAAAACCCTGTCTCGAAAAGAAAAAAACAAACACAAAAACTTCATTTCTAAGTCATTCCCTCAGGTTCCACCTCCTCCACCTCATCCCCTGTCCCATGTCCTGCAGCCCAGGTAGGTTTTGCACTTCTGATCCTCCAACCTCTTCCTCTCAAAGGCAAGGAAACAGGTGTGTGCAGCCACACACAGTAGGTCTCCCTTGCCCAACTTGCAATCCTTGCTCCAGCATCTTTCTTGACTTAAGGTTATTTCTCTAAGCTGATTTCATCTTCTCTGAGAAGTGTGATGGCTAGAGTCTGTGGGGAAGATCAGGGAGGACCACACAACACCCACTTCCGGTGCCTGATCCCAGGGAAGTATACTGGAGAGCTGGCAATTTTGCCCAATGTAGAATCTGTGGGCTCCTATGTGAGGGAAACACACCCGAGCCTCAGCACAGCCAGAAACTCTTGAGCAGCCCTCAGCAGGGGACATCCAACCTCTGCCTTGGTGTTGCACAGGGGTATGAGGGATTGTTGTGCCCAGACTCTTGCCCCCTAAAAAGACCACCAGGGATCCGGGACTTGGATGCAAAAAGCAAGGTTTATTCCAAAGCACAGTACTAGTCTAGGCAGGGAACTCATCCAGCACACTCAAGGCAGCGAGGGCGGGAGGAGCTGCCTTCTAGAGATTACAAGACTTTTTATAGACAATCTCACAGGACGACCAGTTCTCACCTAATTTGCATACCCAGACCTAACTGAGGGCAGCAAATGATTACAAAAGGGTGTGAAATGCAATAAGCATGATATTATTATGCAAATGAAGTATGGACATAAGTATGTTCTCAGTTGGCCCGTTCCTATCTGTCCTTGGGGTATATAGATGAAGCATACTATGGACATATTTTTATTTGGTCAGTTCTTGGCTATTCTTGAGGCAATGCTCTCCCAGTTGTTATCAGCTCCTGCGATGGCCCTTGTCACGTATGAAGTGTTTTTCAAAACAGCCTAGCCTAAACAGCGTGGTTCAGGCGGAAAGCAATTAGGTCACGCTGACCGGTTTTTCATTTCTCTCAGGATGCAAGTCCTTTAGATCATTTTCTGTAGGGGATTACAAAGCCAGGGAGTTCTGTACTCCCACCACAGAAAAGTTCTCTTTAGTCATCCTCATCTTAGTCAGAGCCCAAACAGCCCACCTTCGGCCCTGGTTCTCTCTCCTAGGGATGCTCAGGCTGGGTTGAGCTCATGGGCACAGGTCATTCTCTGGAATCCAGCCACAGAAATGGTTTGCTCTCACCACAGTTTTGGGTTTACATAAGAAAGACCATGTGTAGACTCTGAAAGAAGACAAAGCTACCCACAAGCTAAGGAGGTGATATCAAAGGATAACACCTTGGTCTCAGACCTCCAGTCTGGGATTCTAGAGAATGAGTTTCTGTTGGTTAAGTCACCCAGGCTGTGACACTTTATTATCCCCAAGGATCTTCACTGGATGTGAGGCTCCCAAGAGAGGATAAGACTAAGAGGCCAGGCTGTCCCCTAAACTGCTAAGACGCTCCATCAGGACTGAATAAAGAAAGGCCTCCATTGCAAAACATCCCTGTTACCCAGAGACTGTGAAGTCCATGGCACAGCCTAGTAGACGAAGGGCTGTCTAAAGCATCAGGTTCTCAACCCGGAAGTCATGACCCCTGGTGTGGGGGAGTGTCACATACCAGATATCCTGTATATCAGATCTTTACATTATGAGTCATAACGGTAGCAAAATTACAGTTATGAAGTAGCAACAAAATAACTCTATGGTCGGGAGTCACTACAACATGAAACAATATTAAAGAGTCACAGCATTAGGAAGATTGAGAACCACTGGCCTGGAGCATCTCAGGACACCAGCCGGCACGAAGCCCTTGGGGGAAGAAGGGCCACAGCACACATTACGGCTCAGAGCTCTTCTCCTGCCTCCTCCTGCCCTCCTCCCACCCCAAGAGTCGTGTTTACCTCTAGCTCCTCTGGCTGGAACAATGGTGACACTGTCCTCATTGGCCCACAAACCTATGCTGGCTGCACTGGCAGAAGCACTTGGGCTCCCTGGCCCGCCTGGCCCCAGCTGACTGCAGGCAGGCAGGGAGGGCGGGAGGGGCTTGCATTTCTAGGGTCAGTGTACTCGTGTAAAAGTCTTTCAACACGTTTCTGTCATGAGCAGAAACAGATGGGCTTGCTTGCGTCTAAAGTTACTGGATAAAAGTAAAACTACAGCTTGCTTGGCTGCAGTTTCCCAAGTAATTTTAATTTTGCTTGAAAAGTTGGCCATAGACAATCATTAAAATTTTATTCCAATTTTAATTACCAAAATTAACTCTTAAGCTCTCTCACACACATATATTTGTGTACATAAAAAATAAATATATAGGTACATATGTAGACTTGTTTATGGCAGAATGGCCATGAAAGTAAGGCCGCATGCACGATTCAGAAGGGTGTTCAATAAGTCTTAGGAACCCAAGAGCTGAGTTGTTCTGGTGCAGAAGAGTCACACCCAAGCTGAGGAAGCCATGTAAGGGTCAGTTTGACGTGAGATCTCATGGACAGGAGAGACTGTGAGCTGGACCCGAGAGACAAGGTCAGGAGACAGTCACTATGGCAGTTTTATTGGGTGAGGATTGCAATGAGAGGTTGAGTGATGAGTCAGAACGTCTGCCACATGTTGATCTTGGGGTGCTCTATGTTTTGCCATGTGGTCGTGGTATTACTTCATTTCTACATGTCTTGTTTCCTCCGTGGCCTGCTGGCATCTGCTTGACTCAGCCTACGCTCTCTCTATATCTCTGTTTGAATTTTCTGCCTGGCTTTGCTGTGCTAAGCCACTGGCTGAAACAGCTTAATTCATCAACCAACAAAAGCAACATATATATAGAAAGACAACCCATATCATCCCACCAGGAAAACAATGGACTAAATTTCCGAACTGTAAGTTAACCCCCAATTAAATGTTCTCCTTATAGGAGTTGCCATGGTCATTGTGTCTCTTCACAGCAATAGAAACTCTGAAGCAGAAGTTGGCACTGTTCTGGTGGAAGCTCCACCCCAGCCCCTGGCGCCCATATACCCAAAGAGTCTGGACGTTCTGGTGGACACTCCACCTCAAGCCCATTCCCCATCTCTCTCCAAACACTGCTGTATCTCAAAAAGTCCACCAAATGATGACCTCCCCTCCCCTAGAGATGCTCAAGACCACTCTCACAGGGTATATAAACTGTCCCCTGAAAACAGACACATGTTTTTTCGGTCTCCTCTCTGGAGGGTCAGAAAATCATCTGGACGCATTTTACCCATTAAACCTGGGCCTGTTTAGATATGCTTTGATTTGGTCTGATTTGGATTGCTGCATCAGCAAAGAGACTTATTGGGGTGTAAAACTTCTCAGGTACTAGGAGTGAGGTATTGCTGTGATAGGCCTGACCATGTTTTTATTTGGAGAAATGTGGACTTAAGGACTTTGGGTTAGGAAAGCAGTGAAATGCTTTAAGCACTGCTTAATGGGCCATATGGGAAGGAATATGGAAGACCGTGGTGCTGAGGGTGATTTGAATTGTGTGGACCTGGCTTAAGAGGTTTCAGAGGAGAAGAATTATAGTATGTGACCTAGAGACAGTTCTTGTGATATTTTGGTGAAGAATGTGGCTGCTTTTTGCCCTTGTCCAAAAAGTCTACCTGGGTCTTCATGCTTACTTCGTAAGAACTCTACGAACGGAGGTACACCCCATCCCCTGATTACATTTCTTTGACATTTGAGATTGCTGCAAGTCAACACTGTCAAGTGCTTCTAGGTGTGGGCTCTTTAGACTCCTTGCTGATTCTCGCAAGTGGTGCTGCTCCTTAGCCCAGGTTATGAAAGAACCTGGGCTTCTAATAAGTGCCCTATTGAACCTTCTCTAGTCATGCCCTTCCAGAGTCCAGGGAACTAAAAAAAGTGCCCCCCAGTACCCGTATGTCCTCTTTAGAACATGTTTTCAGTACCTCATTAGATACCCTCAAGTTTGCAGCCCCTTTTGGGGGTCTTTTTTTTTTTAAAAATATTTATTTATTATGTGTACAATATTCTGTCTGTGTATATATCTGCAGGCCAGAAGAGGGCACCAGACCTCATTACAGATGGTTGTGAGCCACCATGTGGTTGCTGGGAATTGAACTCAGGACCTCTGGAAGAGCAGGCAATGCTCTTAACCACTGAGCCATCTCTCCAGCCCCCCCCTTTTTTTTAATGACTTTTTCTTTCTTTTTTTAAATATTTATTTATTTATTATGTATACAATATTCTGTCTGTGTGTGTCTGCAGGCCAGAAGAGGGCAGCAGACCTCATTACAGATGGTTGCGAGCCACCATGCGGTTGCTGGGAATTGAACTCAGGACCTTTGGAAGAGCAGGCAATGCTCTTAACCACTGAGCCATCTCTCCACCCCCCCCCTTTTTTTTTGAGGTCCAGCCTCTACAGAGTGTTGACAGAGGTTTCTGTCCTACCTGGTCCTGCAGCTGTTCAGTCCCAAAGAAACACACAGAGGCCTACATTAATTATCAACTGGTTGGCCTATTAGCTCAGGCTTTTTTTTTTTAAAATATTTATTTATTTACTATGTATACAATATTCTGTCTGTATGTGTGTCTGCAGGCCAGAAGAGGGCGCCAGACATCATTACAGATGGTTGTGAGGCACCATGTGGTTGCCGGGAATTGAACTTAGGACCTTTAGAAAAACAGGCAATGTTTTTAACCATTGAGCCATCTCTCCAGCCCCCTAGCTCAGGCTTCTTATTAACTAATTATAACTTACATTAGCCCATAATTCTTGTCTGTGTTAGCCACATGGCTTGGCACCTTTTATCATCAAGGTATTTTCATCTTGCATCCTCTATGGCTGGGTGAGGACGGCAGACTGAGCCTTTCCTCTTCCCAGAATTCTTCTGTTCTGGTCACCTCCCCCATACTTCCTGCTTGGCTACTGGCCAAACAGCATTTTATTAAACCAGTACAAGTGACAAATCTTTACAGGGTACAAGACTATTGTCCCACAGCAACAGAGTGGGCCCACCAGGGTGTGAGGCACTATGGGTAGCTGAGAAGTGGCTCTGCAGGGAAGACAGATGGTAACTATTCAGGGTGGGTGTCCACAGTAGGTGCACAAAGTCACCCCTTTGATCCCCACTGCCACAGACAACTTATAGCTTCTTAGGGGGCCCTACTTCAGACCTCTGAACTCAGCTCATCATCTCTTGAACTCTCTGGGGCACTCATCTGAAAAGGACATGGTTAGACAATGTGAATACATCCATGACCTCCCTGCCCCCCCATCCCTAATATTAAAGAAATGTACAAGCCTCTGCTTCCCCTCCACCACCCTAAGAACCTTCACATGCTTAACTAGCCAGGAGCTTGTTAACTGTGGGCTCGTTACACAAGCTGCACCCTCAATCTAAAGTAGAACCTCGGTCCACTGCTCCATTGATCTTGACAGTCAGATGCTTATTAACAAATATGTATTGAACATTCAGTGCTTCTGGGAAAGTACCAGCTCAACGTTGATATTACGTAAGGGAGCAGACATGCTTCATCTCCCCACGGACAATGTGAATTTTGAGCGCTCCCTCTGCCTTTCAGGTGCTTCAAATGCAAAGACCTGCATAAATCCGTCTACTGATTCAATCCCTTCCGCACTGGCTTCAACTACTTGTTGAGCTCAGTTAAAGCTTGGCTAGCTCAGACCATAACGCGCATGCTCACTCTGGGGTCTCCAAAGCGAGTAAGCGGGTAGAGCCTCCCTTGCGAACTTTGCAACCACAAATCGCAACGCCCCCCTCCCCATCAGCTAGAATGGTATGCCCCACCGAGCAAGGGAGTCGGAAATGAACCACGGGGGCGGGACCTGTTGCTCCAGACTACGGAAGTGCTGCTGCGCGGAGTTGAGCGGGAATTTGGAAGGAGGCTGCGGCGAGGTTAGGATGACTTTCCAGGGTCTGCGCGCACAGGGCGGGAGGAAATGGGCTTGGGAGGACAGGCGGGTCTCCTTACGACTTGGCGTCCCCCATGCCTAGTGCCAGCGCTGGGGTCGGGTGCCTCTGTTTTGGCGGGTTTTTCTGCGGCGCGCCTCGCTTAGTCCTCCCTATTGGTCCTGCCCTTCTGGGACGTCCCCGAGCCGCGGTATCGCCCGTGGAGCCCAGTGCCAGCGGGAAGACAGGCCAGAGGCACTGCGTAGGATCGGCAGGCTGCTCAGGAGGTGCCCTCGTGAGTAGAGTGGAGCTCCAGAAGCTAATAACCCGCACCCGATGTTTTGTTTTTTTCTATTTATATAGTGTTTACAAACCAAACATCCAATCTTCACTAGATGTTTAGTATATTTTCGGCACTGTATTTAGAAGTTGGGACAGAAAACTATGCACTGGATGCCTCGTTTTATGGTTTCTGTTTCTTTTTCGTTCTGCTTTTGAGCAAGGGTCTTATGTAGCCTAATTGGCTACAACTCTGTGCAGCTGAGGATGACCTTAAACTTCTGATCTTGTCTCCACCTCCCAAGGGCTTGGATTACAGGCATGCATTACCATGCCAGGTTCACACAGTTTTGGGGTGGCGATGACATCAAACCCAAGGCTTCATGCCTGTTAGGCAAGCCCTCTACCGACTGAGTGACATCCTTTAGCTCCCATCAGATATTCATTAGGTCCTTAATCTAAGCTTGTTCGTGTGCTCAAAATAACAATGATGAGCAAAACTGGATACAGCCATGGAATTGTAGACCCGTGGGAGATGCAGCTGTTAATTTAAAATGTAGTATTAAAAGTTGGTGACATCGTGGAAGGAGTTTTGCTGGTGCTTCCAGAGCATTTAACCCAGCATCTAAGAGTGTGGGTTGATCTGAGGTCTGAAGGTTTTGTAGAAATTGAACCTTCGAGAGCAAGGAAGGAAGGGTGGGTCTTTATTTTGTTTCAGATGAGAACTCCTATTGGTAAGGGCCAATAAGAGGAAGACCTTGTGGCTTTGAAGGCCAGAAAACAATTCATTGTTCTTAGAATAGAGTGATAAAATAGGAAAGCAGTTAGCTTTATATCCCTTTCCATGACTCAAATTTCCATTACCTGCAAATAGCCCTTTCTTGTCACCCAATTTAAACTCTGTTATATGTTTTTCTGGTTTTGGTGGTAAGTGCATAAAAACGTATTTGATAGAGACAGTGTAAAATCCAATGTGACAATCCAGTGCTTCAGAGTGGCTGCTCTAACTGTATGGACACTCACTGTCATGTATATAGACTTTGGGTCTGTTTAATTTCATTGTGTGATTTTTGTTTCTTATTTGCTAGCTCTTTATAATACAGTTTTAATGTTTGTGTGTGTGTGTGGTGTTTGAGACAGAATCTCATTTTTCGTCGCTCTAGCTGTCTAGTTATATTGGAAGTCCATCTGTAGACCAGACTGACCTTGAACTCACAGGGATCCTCGTGCTTCTGCCTCCCCAAGTGCTCGAATTAAAGGCACGTGCCACTACCACCTGCTGGAAAACCACTTTTAAAATAAGGATAGACCTAAAAGGAAAGGCTAGATTGGAAGGAAACTATACAATTTTTTTTTTTGCTTAAAAAAAATATCTTTAAGCCGGGCTGTGGTGGCGCACGCCTTTAATCCCAGCACTCGGGAGGCAGAGGCAGGCGGATCTCTGTGAGTTCAAGGCCAGCCTGGTCTACAAGAGCTAGTGCCAGGACAGGCTCCAAAGCTACAGAGAAACCCTGTCTTGAAAAACTAAAAAAAAAAAAAAAAAATCTTTACTGCTGTGTTGAGGGGGACAGGTTGAAATATCTTGGAATGGCCTGGTGAGAGATGCTGGTGGCTTTGGTGGTCAGAACAGAGGCGGAGAGCTACTGACAGACTGGGAGGTGTTGGGGTGACATTGGTGGGAGTTGGTAGTGGATATGGAGCGTGAAAACAGAGTTCCTAGGAGTTTGCCCAGGCTTGTGGGTTGGGCGGCTGAGTGGACGCTTCTGCTGTATATGAGGATGGGAAGCAGGAGGGAGCAGACAAGCAGGTGGGCTCCCCCCTGCAGTCTGCACTTACCTTTTGTGTCCAGGGCGCCTCCGTTCATCTCTCCACCACACAGTTCACCTCTCTACACAGGCATTCTGCATCTAAAAGAGCCTCTAGGTCGCCTCTGGTCTCTCCTCCCTGTTCCTTCCCACTTCGATTTGCACAACAGTTTGATGAAGACCATTCCCAGTCTCCTTGGTAGTTGTCGTTCCTTAACTGTCGCTTGAGGTCTTGTTTCTTCTCAGCCTCCCTCTCTGCTTTCCTACTGTTCTACTTGGTCTCCCTCTTGGCCGATCTACTTATATTCCCAAATACATGTTCAGGCATGCCTGCCTTTGTTTACGGTATCCTCCTTCCCAATATTGTAGACCATCTGGTTGTCTCTGCTACCTAAATTTAGTCTCTTAAACTGGGCAGTGGTGGCACATACCCTTAATCCCAGCACTTGGGAGGCAGAGGCAGGCGGATCTCTGTGAGTTCGAGGCCAGCCTGGTCTACAAAGGGAGTTCCAGGAAGGCCAAGGCTATACAGAAAAACCTTGTCTCGAAAAACCAAAAAAAAGAAAAGTAGTCTCTTAAAAAAAATCCAGATTTGGGGGCTGGAGAGATGGCTCAGTGGTTAAGAGCATTGCCTGCTCTTCCAAAGGTCCTGAGTTCAATTCCCAGCAATCACATGGTGGCTCACAACCATCTGTAAAGAGTTCTAGCGCCCTCTTCTGGCCTTTAGGCATAGACACAGAGAGAATATTGTATACATAATAAATAAATATTAAAAAAAAAGAAGTTCCTTTTAAAAAAAATCCAGACTTTTCTTCTAAAAACACTTTTAATGTCACTGGCCTGGCTTCTCACTTGTAGTTTGGGCTGGCCTCAGACTCACTTGTGTAACTGAGAGCTGGTCTTGAATTCCTAATTCCTCCTCGCCCTCTCCTGGTATAAGCTAAACAGCTAGTGCTTACGATCTCCACAACTCCTGACCTGCTCTCCTCCTTTTTTATGACATGGGAATTGAACCTAGGGCCTTGTCATGCTAGTCACGCACTGTGCCACTGAGCCACATCTTCTGCCTTACTTGTTTTTTTTTTAATTATGTGTACAGTGTTCTGTCTGCATGTATGCTTGCACACCAGAAGAGGGCACCAGATCTCATTACAGATGGTTGTGAGCCACCATGTGGTTGCTGGGAATTGAACTCAGGACCTCTGGAAGAGCAGCCAGTGCTCTTAACCTCAGAGCCATCTCTCCAGTCCTACTTGTTTTTTTTTTTTTATACCATTGAATTGGCACTTATTAAGGGTTATTTAATGTTAGGTTATTCATTTGTTGAACAGTGTTTTATTATATGTTTATATAGTCCTATATGTTTATAATATGTCTGATACATAGCTAAGTGCTGAATAGATGGTGCACATGTTCTGTAGAAGCTATGAAATCACATGCAGAATTGTAGGAAATTTGTAAGACTTGATGAGGATAAGCATCATCTTACACGAGGTTTCCATCTGCGGAACACTACTGTGTTGTCTGTAACTGGTATGAATTACTTCTAGAAGCTTCCAGCTGTGACCTTTTTTACTTTTCTCCTTACAGTTCTCTGCTATGAGCAGCAATGGACCTGAAAATTTTATCCCTAGCAACAGATAAAACAACAGATAAGCTGCAGGAGTTTCTTCAAACCCTGAAAACCGACGACGTGAGTACTGCTAAAAGCAAAGGCCAAGCTTGGCAAACCCGAGGGATGTGTGAGCAGGAAAGCGAGCAGCAACTGCAGAGCCGCAGGGATGCCCTGGGGCTTTTCCTCCGGCCAGTGTCCGTAGGAGATGATGGCTTTCTTGGTGGACGTAGAGAGACACTGAGCTGGATGCTGTAATCCTACTATTGGGGAAACTGACAAGACTGCAAATTCATGTCCTGTCTGGACTGAGCAGGAAGTAGGAAGAGGGCTGAGGTGCAGTTCAGTGGTAGAAGACTCCCTTGGCATGCACAAGGCCCTGGGTTCAGTCCCCAACACTACCAAACCCCAAACAAACAAACAGAAAAAAGAAATATGTGCTGTGAGTTAAAAGGACATTAACTCACAAATGCCATTCATACTGTCTTAAATTTGAAAGAACCTTAGATTGCCTTTGCAGCTGATCATATGCAAGTCAGTATACTTTTTTATCTTTAATTTTTTTTTTATTCTATGTGTGAGTATTCTGCCTGCCTGTATGTATGTGCACTGTGTGCATGCCTGGTGCCCGGGGAAGTCAGGAAGCCAACAGATCCCATAGAATTGGAGTTACAGATGGTTGTGAGCAGCCCTGTGGGTGCCAGGAATCAAACCTGGGTCCTCTGGAAGAGCAGCAAGCACTCTAACCGCTGAGCCATCTCTCCAGCCCCCAAATCAATATACGTTTGTAGCCCTCAAAACAGTCGTATTTGAAGCTACATAGAGGCCAGAGTTATGAGTGCGAAGCCTTCCTGATGTTGAGTCTCCATTTATATATATATATATATTTTTTTTTGATTTTTGAGACAGGGTTTCTCGGTACCTTTTGGTTCCTGTCCTGGAACTAGCTCTTGTAGACCAGGCTGGCCTCGAACTCACAGAGATCCGCCTGCCTCTGCCTCCCGAGTGCTGGGATTAAAGGCGTGCGCCACCACCGCCTGGCTTACATTTTTCTTTGAAGAAAATAAGTTAGTAGGCAGAAAAAAAAATCTCTTTTCAGTTATTGGTAAAGATAACCAATGTCTGAATCTTCACTGTGAATCCGTGATTATAAAGATGAAACAATAATGACCGCTTGGCCTCTGGCTTTCTGTCTCCGAGCAGCGGTCCTAAGCTCTGGTCCTAAGTGTCTGACACAGACCTTGGGCAGGCTCAACAGTGTGCTGCAGTACCCCTCTGGGTTATCTCGGTGCTCACTAAAACCCAGATTTCACCCTTTTCATTAGATGCTACCACCTTCCAGTTAGTTGCTTAAATCTGAAATTAAGAATTCTTCATTGACTTCTTTCTCTGCATCGCTCTGCCTCTCCTTTACCTCCAGACTATGATGGGTTCTACTTTGAGCTCTCGGATCTGTCTTGAATCTTTCTCCTTTCCTCCATCTCCCGTATATTAGTGTGCTAGCTAAGGCTGCTGTTAGAAAGGACCTCAGACTGGATGACTTAAGTGATAACAGTTTAGTTCCTGATTCTGGATACTGGAAGTCCAGATCAAGGCTCCAGGACGGGTGGCTCCTTCTAGGGCTGTGGTAATCTGTTCCAGGACTACCCCTGAATTTCTTATCATTTTGCCATGACCCATGTGGCTTGCTCCTGAAACCCTGACAAGAGGTAGCGAGGGAATGAAAAAAGAACAGACTTACTAAAGAAATCACAGGGGGGAAAGGTGGCTCAGCGGTTAAGAGCACTGCCTGGTTTTCCAGAGGTTCTCAGTTCAATTCCCAGCAACCACATGGTGACTCACAACCATCTGTAATGAGATCTGGTGCCCTCTTCTGGCCTGCAGTATTCATGCAGGCAGAACACTGTATTTATAATAGATACATTAAAAAAAAAAAATCTAGCCAGGTGGTGGTATCCCAGCTATTGGGAGGCAGAGGCAGGCTGATCTCTGTGTTCTACACCAGCCCAGTCTACAAGAGTGAGTTCCAGGACAGGCTCCAAAGCTACAGAGAAACCCTGTCTTGAAAAACAAACCACCACCGCCAACAAAAAAACCCCAGTCTATTAGGAAGAAGTCATAGACACATACAGAAAAAAGCTGGTGGGCCGTGCACACCTTGATAGAGTGGTACCAACTGTTGCAACAGCCTGGGACCTCAGTGTACAGCACTGGGGGTTGGAACTAGTCTCCATCGGTCAGTCTCCGGCAGTCTCAGGCTGTAAACTTTGGGGAGGAAGTGCAGTTGCTAGTTTTTGCACACACTGGTCAGTCATTCACAAACACTTGCACTTAGACCAGAGCCTTTCTGAGCCCAACATGGCGGAAAGGCTTTGCCAATTTCCCGTCGTCCAAGGCTTTGGTCCTGAACATGGCTGTGCTGTCAACAATATCCACTCACCGAGGACTTCATTTGCTCCGTACACAGTCACTCAGCCTCCTAGCAGGTGTCTCCCTTCCTCATCAGTCACTCGTTTTCCTTCAGCAGCCTCTCCTGCACTTAGACGAACCCTGATCTTCCGACGGTGACCTATGGGTTTCTTCTCCACCTGGCCCTTGCCTATTGCTCCATAATTTCTCTCTGCTACTTTTGCCCTTCCTTACCACTTGCCTGACCAATTAGTATTTCCTCAGCTACTCAAGCCTACCAAACGCTCGCTCTCTTGCCATAGAGGATGCCTCTATCTCCCTCTGCACAGCCAGCTCTTTCCTACCTGCCCACTCTCTGATTAAACCTTTCCTACCTCAGAGGTTTGACTGCCCTACCTGCTGTTTCTTCCCTTCCCTCTCTCTCAGCTACTTCTTTGTCGTCTTGACAGTTTTCTTCTTCTGTCATTCTTTCCCCTTTCTCATGAGCTCTGAGGCAAATGACCATGTCCATTTGTCCAGCCTTACATTGTTCTCTGAGAAAGTACACGCATCGGAAGTCTTTGTTGATGGATGGATATCTCTAAATCATGCCATGGTCCTAGTGCTAATGAAAGAGTTAAATAATTTTAGAATGAATTTTACCTCTTTAGGGATTTTTTAAAGTCTTACTGTGTAATGTGGATAGACCTCAAGCTCCTGCCTCAACTTCCTGAATACTGGGACTGCAGACATGAACTACTACCATATCTGGCTCTGAATTTTTGAATAGCTTTAAAAACCAAACAGAACAGGGTTTCTAGCCCAAACTGATGTTGAACACATGTGTAGCCAAGGATAAACCTTGCACTTCTGATCCTCCTGTGCCCATCTCAAGAGCACAGGGCTTATAGGTATGTGTCACTACACCCAGATTTTGGAGTGTAAGAGTTTGAACCCACAATCTTGTGCATATTGGGCACGTGCTTTACCAACTGAGCTTTATTTATTTTAGAAGTCTTGCCCTGCAGCTCTTGCTGGCCTTGCCGTTGCTGTGTATCCCAGGCTGGCCTAGAACTCATGAATCCTGGCATTTCAGGTCTGCGTGGCTATGCCTGGCTATCTCAGTCTTGGTGGTCTAGGATTCTATCAAGATCTTGCCGCTCTATCACAGTAAAAAAGGAGGGCGTGTGTATTTTAGTCAGACCGGAGCCTGGCAGCGCCTGCTTTCCTTCTGCGCACTGCGGTCGGTCGTGTAGGTGGAGGAGCAGTTGCCTGAGACTTGCAATTGTTTTCCCCCTTCGGTTGCAGTTGACCGATCTCCTTCAGAGCCAAGCAGTGAAAGGAAGAGCTGTTGGAGCATTCCTGAGAGCCATCTTCAAAGGTGACGTGCGTCCCTCTCAGCGTACCCCCCGGTCGGCGGGTGTCATTGCTGCTTTTCTGCCTGTCTGAAAACCCACTGGTACCTCCTTTCTGTTAGGGAGATTCTCCAGAATCAGCTCAAGCGGAGCTCTCCTCGGTGTGTGATCCTGGGATGCTTTACTGGAGGGAATCGGAAGGGCCCTGAGATGATAGTGCTGGCCGGGGGCCTGTAAAGAGTGCACGCCGCTGTGGTTTACACAGTCTTCTGATCGTGGAGTTGAGACGAAGATGTGTCTAGCAGCCCCGAGGGGCCAGGGAGCTCTGGGTTTGCGTGCAGTGGAGCATCCTTGATGCTGCAGAGCCTTAATTCCCGGTGTAGTGTGTTTGTTTCACTTTTCTCGAACAAGGGCTCCATGTTCAGATTGTGACTCAGCGGTTTCATAAATAGTGATAGAATTCTCAAAAAAATTATTCATTTATTTATTCTGAGAGAGTATCTTACTACATAGCTCCAGCTAGTCTGGAACTTGTTATGTAGACCAGGCTGGCTTTGAGCTCACAAAGATCCCCTGGCCTCTTCGGCATCCTGGGATGGAAAGTGTGCACCAGAATGCGCAGCCTCCAAGTCCTAATCCTGCCTTGGTCTCCAGGTACTGGAGTTACAGTGTATGCCGCTTTACCTGGTTTGCTGTAGCTCTCGCATTCAGGTCTTTGATCTGACTGACTTTTGTGTATGTTGTGAGGTGGAGATCTGACTTTATCCCCACCTCTGTCTGGCACCTTGATAAAAATTGCTTGCCTGGAATTACTCTTCTTTGAAGTTTTGAGACAAAGTCTCATTTAGCCCAGGCTGGCCTGAGACTGCTGTAGTCCAGGATGGCCTTGGATTCCAGTTCTCTTGCTGGCATGACGGATTGCTTTCTTACAGCGGTGCTCCTCTGGCTGAGTCTTCGCCTCATTTCTGGAATTGAATCTGGCTACTTTTGTCAGTATTGTTGTATCTTGATTATGGAAGAGATGAATTTTGCTGTCCTTATTACTTTGTTGACATAGCCGATGATAGTGTCCTGACATAGCTCATTGAACTTGGATAAGTGAAGCCCTCTTTCCCAAATTGCTGCACTGTGTTGTAAAATAAATTCGTGGAGCAGAAGGTGACACTTAGTCCTTTTGCTTTGGCTAAACTGACTGCCTCAAAGCCCCTCGGCATCGCTGTTACAAACGCCGTTGTTGTGTTTCAGTACTGCATACAGGCTTGTGTGATTTTCTTATTCATCCTTTGTTCTCTACGCCTGTCTAAAACACCAAGGCTCCCCCTGCTCTGAGGAAGATGGAGCCCTTAGGAGATCCCAGGTGTATTCTTGCTGTATTCAGTTGATCGAATCAGGAGAGCTGCAGCAAGAAGTGGCGTCTGCGATCATAGGATTGCTCATGCTGGAGGTAAGATGGAAGGGGCAGTGCTCAGTGCCAGACCTCTCCTAGTCGGGGAGAAGACCTGTGGCTTCACACGTGGGCCAGGAAGGGACGAACCCTTAGACTCTGCTTCCCTTCTGGTACCAGGATGCAAATCTCCTATAGGTCCTGAAAGCGTTAAGGGGTTGGTGGAGGACCCTAACTGTTGAGGTTCTTTACAGTTATAAATACAGGACAGAACAGCATGATTCCGCGAATCCCTGGTGATGCCTGTTGGGGGAGGCCGTGTCTGTTCAGTGTTTCAGCCACAGACTTGTTTCCGGAAAGGTTTCAGATACTGGATTCCTGCGTTAAGATTTGCTTTGGTTTGAACTCCTTTCAGGTTCACCATCTTCCAGGACCATGGCTTGTTGAATTAGCCAGTGAGTTTGTCAGTGCTATCAGAGAGGACCGGCTAGTAAATGGGAAGTCTCTGGAGTTACTGCCCGTCATCCTTACTGCCTTGGCTACCAAAAAGGAAGTGCTGACTTGCGGGAAAGGTAATTTTCTTCCGGCTCTAGTGACTTTTTCTTTTCGTATTATGCGATCAGTCTCTCCATCCATTTTATGTCTTTAGGTGATTTGAATGGAGAGGAGTATAAACGGCAGCTGATTGACAGCCTGTGCTCCGTCAGGTGAGTCTCCGGAAGAAGTATAGGAGTGCTTACGCACTCGTGTGCATGCCGCTGCCAAAGCCTGGGCATGCTTCCCCAGACAGCGGGCTTTCTCATTCCCTAAAGCTCCCAGTGCTGTCCACCATGTTTGCCTGCTGGCTGCCATGCCTTTCTCTTCTCTTCCTCTATGTCTTTCAAACCAACTAATAATTTGTTATTTCCAAACCAAATAATAATAGTAGTAATATAATAGGAATCTTTTATACCTTATATTATATGTAAATTTATGTATGATTACACATAGATATTACATGCCGCTATATGATATATTAATATAATTATAGTAATTATGGTAATAATTTGTTTTTTAATATTGTTCCCAAACCAAATAATACTAATATTTTATCATAGTGCCATTTGGTGTGCAGTAAGTTTGAGTAACTCACAGAGATCCGCCTGCCTCTGCCTCCCAAATGCTGGGATTAAAGGCATTCGCCACCACCGCCCGGCTTGTTTTTTGTTTTTTTGAGACAGGGTTTCTCTGTGTAATAGTCTCAGCTGTCCTGGAGATAGCTCCATAGCCCAGGCTGGCCTCGAACTCACAAACATAGATCCGCCTGCCTCTGCCTCCCAAGGGCTGGGATAAAGGCATGTGCCACCACCACCCACCTTCTTCTTTGTTTTTTAAAATAGTTTGATTTTTTTTTTTTGTTTCGTTTTGTGTTTGAGACAAGGTCTTACTGTGTAGATCAGGCTTGCTTCAAGTTTGTGGCAGTCTTTCTGTCTCAGCCTCCCAAGTGCTGGGATTACAGGTCTACACCATCAGGCCTAGGTAATTCATTTATTAAAGGCAGGCTCTCAATATATAGCCCTCAAACTCATGGTCCTCCTGCCTTAGCCTCTAGAGAACTGCTGTCACCCTGGTTCAAATAGTTTCTCTGTTTAAAAAAGGTTGCAGTAGCCTGTTTATATACCTAAGTGACATCCTGTAAGTATTGCGTTAGACAGTTCAGGTAGTAGATTGATCTGTGAGTGTGTGCGTTCTGAAAGCTGTGACTTGGACGCTGTTAAGCTGTTTATAAAGTGTTCTTGCCTCCCATGCCTTCGCTATATTTGGCATTACCAGAGTGGCCTGTTTGTTTCTGATGCTCGGGTGTAAACCTCATCATCTGTTTGATGTTCTAGTCTGATGCGTTATAAAGACTAATTATTGGTCCTCTGGCTGAAGGCTGTGGGACCTCTTTATTCATTTTTATGTTTTTTTAGAAAGCCAGGGTCTCATGTAGCCCTCAAGCTTGACGTGTAGTGTGTGTGTGTGTGTGTGTGTGTGTGTGTGTGAGAGAGAGAGAGAGAGAGAGAGAGAGAGAGAGAGAGAGAGAGAGAGAGACCTTGAACTTCAGGTCTTCACGCTGCCTCTGAAGTGCTGAGATTCCCCTTATTGTGTTACATTGTATGTTTTGTCTCGATTCCCCGTACTGAAAATCAAACTCGAACGCCCTTTTTCTTCTTCATTAGTTTTATAAAATTACATGTAAAGGAGTTAAGATGGAATAAATTCATGCTCTTCCTCATTGTCTTTAACCAGATGGGCTCAGCGATATGTGATCCAGCTCACGTCAATGTTCAAGTAAGCATTGTTTGTCTGGCTGGTTTTTGTCTTTATGTCAAGCTTTGTCAGCATACCCATGAGAAACTGAAACACAGTGGGCTCAAACTCCAGTTTTCCTGGTAATAGCAATAGCACCTCCGTCTTCTGTTGTGGAATTCTCTCCCCTCCCTCTGTTTTGGCTCAGTTTGTTAAATATAGAACTGATTTTCTTTTCGAGATGTTAGGTAAATTTATTGGTTCTCTTAAAAGATTATTCATAAGTAGAACGTCAAGGAAGGAGGGCTCGTTTTATTCTTTCTTTACATGTACATGTGTGTGCAAGTGTGTGGGAGTCAGGCCCCCTGGAGCTGGAGTTACAGGTGGTTTTGAGCTGCTTGTTGTGGGTGTTGGGAACCAAACTTTAGTCCCCTGGAGGAGCAGTGATTGTTTTTCACCATTGAGTCATCTTTTCAGCCCCTTATTTTATTCGTTTATTTTTATTTATTTGTTTGTGTGTGTGTCTTTGCTTCTCTGAAGGTCCTTTGTTGTGAGTGTGGGTGTGGGGGGCCAGAGGTTGATGTTGGTCATCCTCCTTGATTGTTTTCTACCTGAGCAATGGAGACACAGTCTCTCACTTGTCCCAAAGCTTGTCCAGAGGTCCTGTCTTGGATAAAATGATAGGGAACGGACCTTGTGGTCCGAGCCCTGTTCCTTACCTTACATAGTAAACGCTTTACCCTGATGAGCTTTACCCCAGTCCCTAAATTTTCTCCCTTAAAAAATGTTGGAGAGAATTTTGATTATTGTAAAGCCCTGCATTTAGTTTCTAAAAGCAAAGCAGTTAGGCTCTGGCTAGACTTTAAAACCTCTGCTCCACAGGGACGTCCATCTGACGACAGAAGAGATGGATCTCGTGGTGGCAAAAGTGTTGGCAATGTTTCCAAAGTTGAATCTTCAAGAAATACCGCCATTGGTCTATCAGCTTCTGGTTCTCTCCTCCAAGGTGCAGTGAAAACAGTTATTTCTCTGAATGCTGCTGCTTAAGCTGCTATCCTAGTTCAGCCTTTGCAGATTGTTGGTTCCCATACTAAGACATCCATGCTTTCATTTCATCTGTGGTGATTTGATCATGCTTTTCAGCCAAGGGGAAATTTTGTGTGTATGTGTGAAAGTAAAAGAAATAGACGTCAGAACTTGTGCACACTAGAAGCACAGAAACTCCTGAAGAGATGTAAGCAAACGTCTGCTCAGACCAGACAGGGGACCAAGAACAGATCCCCGTAAGAATACCACTGAAGCCCACTAGGGTGGAGCAGCAAGCTGTCCTGGGTTGCTTTCAGGAGTGTGGGTGAGAGTTACTTGCAGAAGCAGAAATGACTCAAAGGCCGCCCCAGCATGGGTGACAGCTCACAAAGACTGGAACCCTGGAGGTTACCGCACACTTGGCGAGGCAGTGCAGCGGGTCGGAAAGTCTCCCTCAGGCAGCTTGGCTGGTCTGACAGTGTCTCTCGCATCCTTGCTGCTTATATGTGCTTGAGGAGGCTGGGTCCTAGTGTACCTCTTCAGCTTCAGGGACTTCCTGACGCCTTTACCCGCCATTAGTACCTGAGTTTAAGGAGCCTCCCTGAAGAATGAAATGTTTTATCTAGGGGGAAATCACGACCTAACAGCCAGCGTTACAGTTAGGGTTGGGCGCCCGAGGCACATACTCTACAACTGTGCTCTTTCCCTGACATTGCGAAGTATTTCAAACTCTGATGCAACTTGAAAGTGTTCTGTACGTATTACCGTGACACTGGGTTGTCACAGTAATAAATTTATACTTAATTTATACTAGATAACCCTTTGTTATTTTACCTTCAGTTAGGTGAACGTTCTTTCATTATAATAATGGTTATTATTTTCTTTTTAGGGAAGCAGGAGGCGTGTTTTGCATGGCATCATAGCCTTCTTCAGTGAGCTAGACAAACAGCACAGCGAGGAACAGAGCGGGGACGAGTGAGTAACACAGTTTAGAAGTGCAGCCCGGGGGCTGGAGAGTTGGCTCAGCGGTTAAGAGCACTGACTGCTCTTCCCAAGGACCCAGGTTCAATTCCCAGCACCCACATGGCAGTTCACAACTGTCTGAAAATCCAGTTCCAGGGGATCTGACACCTTCACACCAATACACATTAAAATAAAGTTAAATAAACCATAAAAAAGAAAAAAAAAAAGAAGTGCAGCCCGTTTTCACAAGCTCACCCTCCCGCTGCACTCTGCTCGTTAGTGTGGTTGCTAGCGCTGTGTTCACCCCCTCCTTCCCCTCCATACAGAACTGTAGCCCTCCTCCAGCTGCTAGGAGAATAATTTCAGTCTTCTACTCCTATCCACACCCTCCCAGGAGAGTACCAATAGCTGTCTTTTGTAAGGTGCAGGTTTGACATCTATGTTAGCAAACACCTAGTTGCCTGCTCCGTGGGTAGCATTGGCCTTGGGACCATAGTGATGAACCAGTCGGACGAGACTCCTGCTGTTGTAGAGCTTAAGTTTTGGTGAGGAGAGAATCTCAGAGTTCGCCATGCGGGAAGATAAATCAAAAGGACAATATGTCAGTGACAGCAGAGCTACTTTCGATTGAGTCTGGGAAAATATCTCTGGGGAGATTCTGCTTAACCAGAGCCTGACTGATAAGAACCGCTGTATGTTGATGAGGAGAGCGTTTTCCGGTAGGGAATAATGCAGAGACAGAGTACAGTGTGGCTCTTAGAAAATTGATTTTTTTAATGTTTACGTGTCTATGTGTGTGCCTGAGTGTGTGTATGTATATACACTGTGTGCATGCAGTACCTGCAGAGGCCAGAGAGGGCGTCAGAGCCCCCTGAACTGGAGTTACAGACAGTTGTGAGCTGCTGTGTAGATGCTGGGAACTGAATCCAGGTCCCCTGCAAAAGCAACCAGTGACCTTAACCACTGAGCCATCTCTCCAGTCCAGGATATTTTCTTTTTAAAACAAGTGCACAGAGTGCTTATTCTGTGCCATGTTTGTACACTGTAAAACTTGCATGCTTTTTTTTTTTTGTGGATATGGTAACCAGGAAATAATTTAGGTATTATCCTGTGTCATATAGCCAGAAAATAGCAGCAAAGATTTGAATCCAAGTGGCTCAACTAAGAAGGTTATGCTGTTGGGTCTAATGCAACCAGTTTCTCCCAGTCTGTAGTAACCATTGTTAATTTTGTTGCTCAGTTGATGAGGAGGTGGTTCTCTATGTTGACTTAGGAAAAGTAAGGATGTCCGATCTAACCCCATTAGATTTGCAGTGCACATTAGCAGCCCATATGGAGCAGGTTAAAGTCTGAACCGAAAATATAAATTGATTTATTTTAAAATGTGTTTAAAAATTATGGAGAAGTAAATACACATAGATGTAACTGGGAAGGGACTAAAGCCAAGGGACAGGATGGAATTATCTAGGGAAGATATGAAGAGAAAAAATCCTAACAGCTCCGAGATACTCTATGTTTCAAGATCAAGTGGTAGGGGCGGGTGAGCTAGCAGGGGAAAACCTTGAGATCAGTGTCCACGTCCCAGAGGACAAGGAAGCCAGGTGTTAGGTGCATGCTTATAATCCCTGCACTTTGGGAGCAGATAGATCGTGAGGTCAAATTCAAGTTCAGTGTAGGCTGCATAGCCCTGTGAGACTATTGGTTTTGGCCATCTGGATTTCTCTGTGACCTTCTAAGACTTGAGAGATGTCACTGGTTGGGAAGGAGAGGACAGAGCCTGGCTGCATTTGCTGGGGTTTGGAAAGAGAATGAGTTAACGGAAATGCTGTCTGTAGATAGACAGACTTCGGGAAGTTGGCTTGCCGCTTCTGCTTCCATGGTTCTGCACCTTCCGCTAGATGCTTGTGGGTCCCAGCATGTTTTCATCCTACAACCCAGACTTAGACCTTGCTTTTGAATCTTCTAGGCTGTCGGAGCTGGTGGCCGCCCCAGCAGACGAGCTCTATCATGTGGAAGGCACCATCATTCTACACATTGTGTTTGCTATCAAACTGGACTGTGAATTGGGCAGAGAACTCCTGAAACACGTGAAGGTAGCGCCCGGCTCTTACGATGTTTTCAGGTCTCTGCGAGACACGGTATTTGCACTCGAGCCTCTTTCAGTCACAGCCACGGGTCTAGAGGGACTTTTTGGCTTTGAAAGCACAAGATATAGGCTATTTTCCAACCCTCAAGCCAAAGAGCTCCTTTTAAAAACCTTCCTTACTCAGGTCAGAACCTGAGCTGGTGCCTCTGGCTTCCTCACGCTCTCTCTAAAGCCTTCCTCTCTGCCATATGGCTTTCGGCTGTTTGTTCTCCAGGTGTCAGACATCTGTGGCATTTGCCCCCCTTTTTGTTTTTGTTTTTTTTGGGGGGGGTTTCTCTTTGTAGCCCTGGCTGTCGTAGAACTCGCTTTCTGGACCAGGCTGGCCTTGAACTCAAAACTCAGAGATCTGCCTCTGCCTCCTGAGTGCTGGGATTAAAGGCATGCGCCACCAATGCCGGGCTACTTTGCCTTTTATTTTGGTTGTAAATATCTTTGTAATGTGTTCTTTAACTTTTTTAAAAAATATTTTTCTGTGTTTGTGTTTTGTGCACATGTATGAATGTGCTCCACATGTATGTCTGGTGCCAAAGGAGGCCAGGAGAAGGCATCAGATCTCATGGAACTGAAGTTGCTGTTGTTTGTCAGCCTGAACTTGTGTCCTCTGCACGAACAGCAAGGGCTCTTAACCACAGAGCTATCTCTCCAGCCTCATTACGTAATTTTTTTTGAAAGCATCCGGCATCATTGCCTTGGGTTCGCTTTGTAAGATTTACCGATTGTTTTCCTGGGATTAGATTGTGTTTTTAGCAAGGACCCTTCGGAAGCCTTGAACCTTCTACAGAGGTTAGCAGATCTGTGAACAGGCTGACACTGACCAGTTTAGGTTTGTGGGCTTCACTGTCTGTCACAGCTGCCCAGCATAGTGTGGTCGCAAGAACTCAGCCCTGGACACGACACACAGATAGCTATGACTGTGCCCAAATTAAACTTTATAGACGGTAAGACTTGAAATTTGATTCATTTTTGTGTTATGAAATGTTATTTTTCCTTTGATCCTTTGCCAGCTATTTTAATATAAAAGCCACTCTTTCCTCTGGTTATACAAAACCAGGTTGTGTTGCCTTTGGTTGATAGGTCAGCCACTCTGCTGTGAGGCATAGAGTATCAAGGATTTCTTCTGGTGATGATGAATCATTTGATAATCATTTGATAATGACTGCTAGTTTTCTTCATTTGTAAAGATATATATTCCCCTGTGTGATTGAAACAGACAATGTGACGCTGGAGAAATGGCTCAGTGGTTAAGAGCATTAAGAGTTCAGTTCCTAGCAACCACACAGGGCAGCTCCCGACCACCTGTATCTCCAGTTCTAGGGAGCCAAACGCCCTCTTCTGGCCTCTGCAGACATCTGAGCTCTTGTACAAAGTTACACACATATACATAATTAAAAGTAAGTCTTTAAAAGAATCATAGTTTATGAGCATGTGAAAATCCTGTACTCTGGTAATTGTATAATAATTGTTTTTCATATGGCAACGATTCTTAGCCTAAATCAGTAATTAAGTTGGGAACTGCAAAGTGGTAGAATTAAAAGGAGAATTTTTAAAATCTTCAGTGCTCCCTCTTGCTATCCCTAGCTGACCTAGAACTTGTTTTGTATCCCAGGTTTGCCTCAAACCTGGGGCGATGTTCCCTCAGCAAAATTTAGAAAATTCATACTGTATCATTTATCCTGTTGATGTAGTATTGGTTTTTACATTTCCCCTCTCTTGTTCTGAGTGCCGTCGGATGCCAGTGAAACCTTTTAACCGGTTCCGCTCCTTATTCGCTAGCAGACATCTGTTTTGAGATATTTGGGGTCCTCAAGTTGGGCTCTGTGTCCTTTGGATGTGACGGCCTCAGTCTTGGAGCATTTTTTTTTTTTTTGGCACAAGATATTCAAGGTTTACTTGTCTTTCTGTGTAACCCTGGCTGTTCTGGAACACTCTGTATACCATGCTAGCCTTGAACTCATAGAGACCCGCCTGCCTCTGCCTCCTCCCGAGTGCTGGGATTAAAAGTGTGCGCCACCACCGCCCAGTTTATTGAGCTTGTTTTTCGGCAGTGTGTTGTGCTTGTGAAGGATAATGACTTTGGTTTGCTCTAGGCCGGACAGCAAGGGGACTCCAGTAAGTCCCTGTATCCTTTCAGCATCGCTCTTCTCCTCTCGCTGACAAGAATGCAGAGATTTGAGGAGCAGGTAATTTTTTAACGATACTTCAATTCCTTTTGTACTTGACAAGAAAGCATAAAAGAATGTATTTTTGTTAGTATCCTTCCCTGTCCTGCCGGCAACAAAGACCACTGTTCTAGGCTGCCGGAAGTCTTCTGATTCCTGGGTATGCTTTCATTTTCCATTGAGAAAGCCAGATGGGGGAGTGGAGCGAGAGAACCATGGTACATGCTCAGGCGACAAGAAAGCCGGCCTAGCTCTCGTGGTAGCCTTCTAGAACACTCCCTGATTATCAGTGAGGAAAGCATAAAGTTCTGGCCCTCTTTTTCTCGTGAGTCCCAAGATTCTGAGTCATGTCCTTTGTCTTTTGTTTTGCGGTGTGGAGCATTGATCCAGTCTCCCATTTGGTGGCAGGTGGTAGGACACCGAGTTCCACACCGGTGTCTGTTGACAAGGGAGCTGGTGAGGTGACTCAGCAGCTGAAAGCACTTGATACTAAGCCTGATGGCATAAGTCCAACCCCTAGGAACCGCCTAGCAGGAGAGAACCAACTCCCAAAAGTTGTTTTCTGACTTCTCCATGTGCACCGTGGCATGCATGCCCCTAAAACAAAGCGTTAGGCTTGAGCCGGGCTCTTAAGTTCTGTAGGTTGTCCTCAAACTTGTGACCCTCCTGCCTCAGCCTTCTGAGTATCAGATTGTAGGCACGCACTACCAGACCGGTCCTGGAAGTGTCTATAATGTATTGATGTTCAGCCCTTTCTCATGAAGAAAGGCCTGAAGCTCACACAGCTTCTGCGCCATCTTAGTCCGCTTAAACAGTCACCACAGGACGGTGTGTGAGCGGCCACTCATGGGACTACTCACAGGCTTATCTCAGATCAGAAGCTGTAATTTTAGCTCATTTTCTTCTTTCTTCAATTATATCAGGTGTTTGATCTTTTAAAGACTTCCGTTGTTAAAAGCTTTAAGGATCTTCAGCTCCTCCAAGGCTCAAGGTTTCTTCAGACTCTTGTCCCTCAGAGAACTTGTGTTTCCTCCATGATCTTAGAGGTGGTAAAGAATAGGTGAGTTGATTGACGAGCCATGCTCTAAGTATTGGAGGGGTCTGGGTAGAAAATGCAGTGTGGACCCCTGCTTGGTACCACTCTGCAGAAGACTGAGAACTGTAGCTAATGACTCTGTAAGATTAAAATTGTGTCCCTTAAAACTGGTAAAAGAAAACGTTTCTATATTGAAGGGAAAAAATCCTTCCATCTCAGGGCCTGATTTCTTGAACACCTGTTGTGTAACCAGAATATAAAGCTTTTTTTTTTTTTTTTTTTTTTTTTGATTTTTCGAGACAGGGTTTCTCCATAGTTTTTGGTTCCTGTCCTGGAACTAGCTCTTGTAGACCAGGCTGGCCTCGAACTCACAGAGGTCCGCCTGCCTCTGCCTCCCGAGTGCTGGGATTAAAGGCGTGCACCACCACCGCCCGGCCCCCATAAAGCATTATCTTGTTCTTTCTTGCTACTGCAGCTCTGTTAGCCTAAGTCTTCATTGGTGTCTTAAGTGCACAAAAATACTCAATTATCTTTACTGTGATCATTGAGGTCTGGGGCTGGGAAGTCAGAAGTAAATCATTGACTTAACAGTTTTCTACAGATCTACTTAAAACTACAAGGAAAACATCAGTGACTAAGTAGGATGTTTGTTTTGTTCTGTTTTTTATTTTCAGGGTAAATATTAGTTATTATAACAATCTTTGTTATGTCATACTTTTGTCTATGGGTTAAATATAAAGTTTTTCATTTTAAGTCATAATTTAAGGTCTTTTTCATGTGCTGGAATTCAGATTCAAATGTGAGCTCGGCGCATCAGGCAAATTAGAGAGACTGGGTTCTCCTTCAGAGTGTTGCACTCACTAAACAGGCTGAGATGGCTCTCTCTGCTCTGTATCTGGATATTTTTTTGCTTGCTAGCAGTGTTTGAGACAGCGTCTTACTATGTAGCGCTGGCCGACCTCGAACTTCTGACTGTCCTGCCTCTGCTTTTTGAGTGCAGGTATGTGCCACCATACCCAGCTCTCCTTTTTTCCCAGACTTAATGATGTCTCTCCAGTATTTTCCCAGTTGAATCCAAGTTAGGTCAAAGAATCAGGCAATGCATAACTGGGAAATGGGAGCTCTGCCCATCTTCTGGAAGTTTCTACCAGCCATGGGATTTAAAAGCATCTTCATCTGTAATCTAGTGGGATAGGCTCTTGCTACCAGATAGGGCCAAACTTTATCAGGGAGAGATGTGAGTGACATCATTATAATCTCCCTAAAGTATTTGCTGGTTAGTTATACATGATTTCTCCAATCAGTTCATTAACCTCAAAGTAGCATATATAGGACATGATTGACTTTTAGCTGCCCTAACTTGTGGTATTTTGGTAGTATTTTATTGAGACTTCTCTCTGCCTTTTGGTGCGTAGAGAGGCACTAGATAGAGGCATTTTTGCTCTAACAGAAGTAGAGTGCTTAAAATTTTTTTTTGTTTTAGGATGCTGTGCTCTAAGAACAACAAGACAGACCCGTGGTGATAATAAGATAGGGCAAAGTTAAAATGCATTTGGCTTTTGCTCTGAGCACTTCGATGGTTTATGTTCTTCGCATAAGATTCTGAAATAGGCACTGAGCTTACCTTGAACCACAAGCTTAAGTATCTTAGAAAGGACATTTCAACACTGCTGAATTATGGGGAAGGAGCAAAATGTGTAAACATTGGCAAGAACCACGTACTAAACACTTCAAGTTCTGCTTTATGCTTGTGAGCTAAGCCAGTCAGGAGCAAGTGAGGTCACAGACTCAGCGGTATTGTGTCCTTCCACAGCTTGCCACATTGGTACTGTTTGCAGCCTCTTTCCCTGTGGGGCTTTGAAATGCAAAGCATTAATGTACTAGAAAAAAATCTGCAAACCAGTAAAACTTTCAGTTTATAACTTGCCTGCTTGCCAATCACTAGGCACACGTCTATGCTATAACCAGGGGAGGGCTGCCACCCCATCCTCCATGAAGAGATACTCCGAGGGCATTTAGGTCTCTTCCCTCCCTTGGCTCCTTCCCATTCCCCTTTTCCTTGCTTCCTATTTTGCAGAGCTGGAGATTGAACCCAGGGCTGTGTGCATGCTCGGCCAGTGCTGTACCACTAAGACACATGCACACACACACACACACACACACACACACACACACACGTCCTCCTGTCACCTCCTTGTTAGAGATAACAGTACTTACTTGTTTGGACTTTATATTAGCTTTACTGATTGATGTCTTTGCTCACCTCTGTTCTTTGATCCACATACCTTTCTCCTGAAAAATAGAATGCCATAAATATGTAATTTTTGCAGTAATACTTTCTGATAGTTTGTGGATGATAAACTTTGACTCTTTTGTTATCTGAAATTTTCATTTTACTTTACTAGTTATATTGTTTCACCAGATGTAAAAGTGTAAGTTCATTATCCTTGTTCATTTTTCTTTCTTTTTTTTTTTTTAAGATTTATTTATTTAGCTTACAGTATTCTGTCTGTGTGTATGCCTGAAAGGCAGAAGAGGACACCAGATCTCATTACAGATGGTTGTGAGCCACCATGTGGTTGCTGGGAATTGAACTCGGGACCTCTGGAAGAACAATCAGTGCTCTTAACCTCCGAGCCATCTCTCCAGCCCCTCCTTATTCTTTTTCTCTTTCACCTAGAATTGCTAGTGGAAAGTCTGATGGTTTTTGTGTTATTGTAGATAACCTGTGTTTTTCTTCATAGAAACCTTTACAGCTTTCTCTAATCTCCACTGTTTGAAATTTAACGCTTTATGTTCATGTAACTTCCTTTTTCATGCTCCCTGATACTTAGATTTGTACCCTCTATAGTGACTTATATCTTTCCTAAACACTGTGAGATTCTTGTTTTTGCAAGTGGGGAGATGGTTCAGTTGGTAAAGTGTTTGCTATGGAAGTGTGAGGACCTGGGTTCAGATCTGTAGTTTCCAGTAAAAGGCAGGCATTCCAGTGTGCGCCTGTAATCCCAGGGCTGGGGAGGTGGAAGTGGGCAGAACCTTGCGGCTTGCTAGCCAGCCAGTCTAGCCGAATCTGAAGGCTCCAGGTTGAGTGAGTGACTGTCTCAAAGAGTAAGGTGGTATAAAAAAAGTTTTAAAATAATAAAACTAATAAGGGGAGGGGTTGGGGTAAATATGATCAAAATACAGTATTTGAAATCTCAAAGAATTAATAAACAAAAACTACAGAGAAATAAGAGGGTTTTTGATTGACCAGAAAACCAGCCTCTTATTTCTCTATAGTTTATAGATTTTGTGTGTGTGTGTATATACCATTTATGTACTTATACGTGTATACATGCCATTAATATATATGGGCTATACTATATAAACATATCTTATGTATACATTGTGTGTATATACCATTTAGGTACTTATATATGTGCATATACCATTAATCTATATGGACTATACTACATATATATACACCTTATACATGCATTTTGTGTATGTACCATTTATGTACATATATGCTATTACTATATATGAGCTATACTACATATACACATGTACTTTATATATACATTTTGTGTGTATGCCATCTATGTATTTATGTGTGTATGCATGCCATTTATGTATATGGGCTATACTATACACACACACCTTATACATACATTGTGTGTATGCATCTGTGTGTGCATACATGTGCTTGCCTTTTTTGAGACAGGATTTGATGCATCCCAGGCTGGCTTTGGAACTTATGATATAGCCACGGATGACCTTGAACATCCAGCATCTGCCTCTCAAATGCTGGAATTACCAGTGCATGTCACCATGCCCCGGTTTTGCAGTGCTCCCCAGCACTCCTTGTATGAACCCAGGGCTCCCTGTATGCTGGACAAGCGCTCTATCAACTGAGCTACATCCCCAGCCCCCTATGGGTATCTTGCTATGGTTTAAATACTAGGGTGGAAGAATGGAACACATACTTTATTATCCTTATCCTTTCCCTTCAGAGTGAGTAGTGTTAACTGTGTCAAGATGCACAGCTGTCTCAGTTTCTTTAGTGCTGTGTTATACTTTGCTTGTGTCTTAACAGGTAGATGTAATGAGATAAAGACTAACTTCAGCTTATCCTGTCCACTCTAAAGGGTGACACCAAGTGGTTGTCACCAGGGTTCTGTTGCTGACAAAGTCTGTTTGTAGTTTAGCTCATGCCGTTAAAACCACATCATCCCTTTATGCTACTGCGTGCTTTGTGCCTGCGCTGTCTGGGTAAAAATGTGACTACACTTTGGTCCTAACCCTAGAGAATCTCAGTCTAGAGAGAGGGGCAACTTTGTTGTACACTGTGTGTGTGCTGTGCCACATAGAAGGGAGAATTGAAGAAACTCCTGGTAGTAAAATCTTGAGTGGAAATTGCATTGAAATATTGTACTTTTTTTTTTTTTTTTGTCTTTTCGAGACAGAGATTCTCTGAAGCTTTGGAGCCTGTTCTAGAACTAGATCTGTAAACCAGGCTGGCCTTGAACTCACAGAGGTCCACCTGCCTCTGCCTCCTTACTGCAGAGATTAAAGGCATGCACCGCTACCACCCGACTGTACATTTCTTTTTATATATTTTTGGTTTCTATTTTTTTCTTAGGTTTTCTTTTGAGGGGGTACATTTTCAAGACAGGGATTTTCTGTGAAACAGTCCTGGCTGTCCTGGAACTCACTTTGTAGACCAGACTGGTCTTGAGCTCACAGAGATCCACCTGCCTTCTGCCTCCCAAGTACTGGGATTAAAGGCGTGAGCCACCACTGCCTGACTAGTTTCTATTTTTTTTAAAATATTTATTTATTGTTTACATAATACAGTATGTACAACCACATGGTGCATGCCTGAAGGCCAGAAGAGGGCACTAGACCTCACTACAGATGGTTGTGAGCCACCATGTGGTTGCTGGGAATTGAACTCAGGACCTTTGGAAGAGCAGGCAATGTTCTTAACCTCTGAGCCATCTCTCCAGCCCCTAATTTTATTTTTTAAAAGTATTTTAGATACTTTTATTTTTGACTGAGGATTGAATCCAAGGCCTTGTATGTGCTAGATAAGCATTTTGCCACCAAGCCACACCTCTAGCCCACAGCTCTGGATTCTCCCTAGTATGTGTTCTGTCTGCCCTTGGAAGCCTCTTGCCTCCATTTCTATGACTGCATTAAGAACTCTGTCAAATAACAGCACATGCAGAGAAAGTAAATCTGAGTTAAATGAGCACATGGCATTATGTGTGAGGATGGGTATTTACCAATTTTCTCTAAACCGTGCCTTGTTTTCTTGCAGTGTTCATAGTTGGGATCATGTAACTCAAGGTCTGATAGAACTTGGTTTCATCTTAATGGATTCCTATGGGCCAAAGAAGACTCTTGATGGAAAAGCTGTTGAAACTGGCTCCAGTCTTTCTAAAATGACAAACCAGCACGCGTGTAAGCTGGGAGCTAATATCTTGCTGGAGACCTTTAAGGTAAGTGAGCTGGCTAGTTTTATGTAACTTGACACAACCTAGAGTCGTTAGCGAGGATGGAGCCCCAGTTGAGAAAATACCTTCTTAAGATCTGGCTATAGGCAAGCCTTATTTTCTTATTAGTAGCCATGATAGTGGCTGGAAAGTGGAGAGATCAGCATGTGCAGACACAGAATACACAAAAGAATCAAAGAAAAAAAACAGAAGGAGAGAGAGAGAGACAGAAATCAGGTCAAGCCTATACTAGCTTGTTCCTTATTTATCTCTTCTTCCATCTAGTTCAAGCCTACTGCATACTCTGTCCGCATTTGGGGTGGTCTGTCTGTCATCGAGTGCTGTCCTGTGTGTTAGCAGTAGAAGTGTCCCACACTAATCTAACAAAATCAGGTTGATGACCACACCTTTGATCCCAGGACGCAGGAGGCAGAGGCAGGCAGATCTAGTGAGTTCCCGGACAGCCTGGGCTATGTAGAAAGACCTTGTCTCAAAACAAAATCAAGTAAGTTGACAATCAGAAGAACCACTGTGGCCCTTGAGAGACGCTCAGCCTGTAAGACTACTTGCTGCCCTTGCAGAAGACTGGGCTCTGTTGCCAGCATCCCATGGGGCTGCTCCCCACTATAATTCCAGTTCCAGGGTGTCCAGCATCCCCTCTGGCCTCCCTGGGAACCAGGCATGCACATGACGCACATTCATACATGCAATCAAAACACTTATACACATATAAATAAATGAATCTCTTAAAAAGAAATGTGTAACATTTCTTAGAATAAGTTGTTGTTTTAAATCTCTATTTTTAAAAACAAGATGTTCTTTGTTGATTCCATTCTTTCAGATTCACGAGATGATCAGACAGGAGATTCTGGAGCAAGTCCTCAACAGAGTTGTCACTCGGACATCCTCTCCCATCAATCATTTCTTAGGTACTGAACTTGAAAAGATAGAGTTCGTAAGGCTGTTTCCTTTTCAATGTCGTGATTCCGTCCTAGGGAGAAAAACAAACCACCACAGTGCATGAGAGATGGCTTGGTGGGTAAGTCACCTGACGTGTCTGGAGCTTGAGTTCGGGTCCTCAGAACCCACAGAAATGCCAGGTGGGCAGGGTGGCCTATTTGTAATTCAGTCTCAAAAGTGGAGACGGAATCTCCAGGGCAAACTGGGTGGTAAAAGTAGCAGTATTGATGGGCTGTGGGTCTGACTAGGAGACCTTGCCTTGATGGATCGAGGATGATTGCCAGTTTCAACCTCCAGTCTCCACGTGCATGCACATACACACATTCATGCATCACCCACACATGCTCACACACACGTGGCACATGCATATACACTTGTGCACAACACACACACAAGAAATGGAAAAAAAGCACAACTTAATAATGATATAATAGTTAATGTATTGTCTTTGACTGTGGCTATGAGATAGATGGATCCTCTAGTTGTCTGGATGTCAGGAAGAAAGGGGACATTTGACCAGTGAGTGGGGTGTCGATCAGGCATCAGCGTTCTTGTCGATACTCCTCCAGTGGGGCCTGTTGGGTCACTTGGTGACAGATGCCTGCCTTGAATGCCTGGGGCTCTGGGCCCGAGCTTGTCCCACTGAACTGTCCTTCTCTATGCGTTGACCTCTCGTTGACCTCTTCCTGGCTGCTTTTATTAGGTGTCTCCTGGTGTCTAAATCCGTTGCCTCTTTTTCACCCACCAGTTTTGCTAAATGCTCTTTTATCATTTGACCTGCTACCGCTTCTCCGAGACTTTGAGAAGGCCCTCAGAACTGTAATTCTTTGTTTCTTATCATGCCTATGGCCAGCCCCCCCCCCTTTTTTTATTGGTAACTTTTCTTTAACCCTTAAATTTTAGATTTTAATAAAGTTCAGTAATTAATATTTTATTATACCTTACAACTTTATGCTGTCTAATTGATATAATTTCCACATTTAAAGTATGACAATTTAATGACTTTTAACATGTGTATGTACTGTGAAGCTATTACCATAGTCAGTTTAGGCACTAGGGAAGTGGAATTGAACAGCATAAGTAGATACTGTTGTACACACCTGTTAGAATGCATATGTTTAAAAAGAATAACGATAACCATAGCCGGGCATCATGGCACACACCTTTAATCCCAGCACTCAGGAGACTGAGGCAGGAGGATCTCTGAATTCAAGCACCAGGCTAACTAAGGCTACATAGTCAGACCCTGTCTCCCCAAAAAATAAAATAAAAAGAATGACCTCACCAGATGCTGGTGACAGTGTTGAATAATTAGAAACTGATGGCAGAAGGTAGAGGGGCTATTAAAAAAATAGTTATGTAAAATAGGAAACGTAAAAGAATCAGTAAATTAGACTTCATCAACTTATAAAATTTCCTTTCTGTGTGACATTACTAGAAAATGTGAAATCAAGCCTAAGATTGGGTGGAGATGTGTAGGAAGCAGACCCTGGGCTTGATGGGGGCTGCGTCTGCTGGCGGCTCCTTTCTCGTTGCTGAGCGTCAGCTTTCTCTCTTTGGGACCACACTGAAACTCCAGCTAGCTCTCCGTTTGTAACATGCTGCTTTATGTGCTCACTTGGATGGTTTCCGCTTTTGTTCTCTTTCTCGTATGTGTTTGGCGTGTAGTCTGTTCTTCCTTTGTGCAGGGCAGCCTTTAATCCCAGCACTCGGGAGGCAGAGGCAGGAGGATCTCTGAGTTCGAGGCCAGCCTGGTCTACAGAGTGAGTTCCAGGACAGGCTCCAAAGCTACAGAGAAACCCTGTATCGAAAAAAAAAAAAAAGAAAAAGAACTCATTAATTTCACACCGTTCTCTCTTTTCTGTTGAAAAATATTAAGCTGTGAGTTTTCCTCTAAATGTCATGTTAAGATGTCCCACACTTCTGGAATTTCCATTTAGTCCAAATCTTTTAAAATTTCCCTGTGATCTGTTCTTTAGCCCTCATTTTTACTGTGTCCCAGTATCTGAGGACTTTCTTCTTTTTACAAGGTGTCATCTTGTTACTGGTTTCTAAGTTGTGACCAGAGAACATAGTTTGTATGAGATGAATTCTCATAAATTTTTGAGTCACAACTCCCTACTTGGTTTCCAAGGTGGCTTTTGTCTTTTCCCTGTAGCTCCCACCCCATAGTGTCACCAGATTAGTGTTCTCAAAAGACCAGTGCCTGCCACTCTGGAGTCCGTGTGCTCTTTTCTAAATCATCGTCTCTCACCAGACCTGGTAACGACGCACAGCTGTAATCCCAGTACTCTGGGGGGCTGAGGCAGGAGGATTGCAAATATAAAGTGCCTGGCCTCGGGTTTTTATCCTGACATTTCAAGTGGCCCTTTTCACATTGATCTCACTATTCCGGATCCTTCGCTCTGTTCGCTCACCTCCCTTCCCCTCTGTGTGGTTTTTTAACCTCTTAGCCTTTCCTGCATAGTTGGACATTCTGGGTTTCTGTGCACTAAATGGTACTAATTCTTTAGAATCTTGAATAATCCTTTTTCCTGATCTTTTAAAATACCCATAGTGACCTCTGATTGTGCACTTCCTGTTTAAATTCTGTCCTTACTATTTGTTAGGTAATACATTTAAAATTGCTAGGTACTTGATAGTCTGTTACTTTTTCTCTTTTAAGATATTTTTGCTTGTGTTCTGACTACATACTAAAATTCGTTTTTTTTTGTTTGTTTTTGTTTTTTCGAGACAGGGTTTCCCTGTGTATCTTTGGCTGTTCTGGAACTCACTCTGTAGACTAGGCTGACTTCGTCTCACAGAGATCCACCTGCCTCTGCCTCCCAAGTGCTGGGATTAAAGACGTGCACCACCATCGCCCAGCTAAAATTCTTGAAAAAGAATATGCCTTATATATTTCTGATAGGACCATGTTTGCCCCCCCCCCCCAAAAAAAAAAAAAGCCCTCACTATTTATTGACTTACTTTTGCTTGGAGATGAACACATCTGGCAATTGTGCAATCAGTGTAACGGGTTGTATTCTTTCTTTTAGACATTTTAAGTTTGCTATGTTGTCTTATCACCAAAGAAAATGGGTAAACTATCCTGGTAACACTGGGAAAAATATGCGCTGGCAATAGAAAAGTTCATTTTAACAAAGAGACAAAATACTCAGCATTTCTTTCCTTGTATAGATTTAGATGCTTCCTTGTCTTGATTTTTATAGTTATGCGAAGCAGTTAACTCTCCGGATTCTGCTTTCAGACTTGCTTTCGGATATCGTCACATACGCACCTTTAATTCTGCAGAGCTGTTCTAAAGTCACAGAGACTTTTGACTGTTTGTCCTTCCTGCCCCTCCAGACGGTGCAGGGGCTGCTCAAGGCAGTGCAGGTAAGCCAGCTGATGCCCGGCTCTCCTCCCAGACCAGCGCTAGCAGTCTAGTCGGGAAAGTCTGAATGCCAGAACTCGTGCTTACCCTGAGTCCAACAGTTCCCTCTGGGAAGGCTAAATGCACAGAGACAGACGGCTTCCCAAGTCTGTTCCCTATGTATCTGTTTCCTTCAGCTCATCTTCAAATTAGTCAGCACAGTGCGTTTATGAAGGCATTCAATCTACTCTTTTGTTTGTTGGATTGATTGCTTTTTGAAACAGCACCTCACTCTATAGCCCAAGCTAGCCTGGACCCAATGGGTAGTCAAGGCTGGACTCAAATTGGTACAGCCCTCCAGCCCTAGTCTCCTGAACTGCTGGGATTACAGTATCACATTAAGTAAATTTTAAATAAATACAATATTATTTAAATAATAAATACAGTATCTGGTTAAATAAACACAGTATCACGGTATTACAGCCTGTATCACCATGCCCGACAGTAACAACTTGCAAATTACAATTTCAAAGGGCGCTGCTGTCTTTGAGTGTAGTCAGCATTGACCGTCTGTACACACGGACCCAAGCACACAAAACCCTACTGGCATTCACAGAAAGGGGCTACGCTAATGTGGGGTGATCTGCTCTGTTCTTCAGCCGCTTCTCAAAGTCAGCATGTCGGTGAGAGACTCCTTGATCCTCGTCTTGCGGAAAGCTATGTTTGCCAGGTATGTGGCACTCCTTGGGGCCACAGGGGGCTATACCTTCTAATGGAAGTTATCTCTGCTATCTCCTGCTTGCCCCTGCTCAGAGAGGTCATGTGGACCCCTAACTAGGCCCAACACTCTCGGCAGGTGGAGTGTTATGTGCTTCTCAATTCTCCGAGTAACTTTAGGAAGTGCAAATATTATAATTCTCATTTTGCACCAGGACAGCTAGGCTTAGACATGATAAGTGACCAAAGAAGGGTAGACAGACAGCACGTGGTATTGGAAATCCACCAATACCATCAGTGTTGTGATCTCCAGTACCCCGCTCTTCCATCCCCATAGTGAGCAGCAGAATTGTGACCCTATGTCCTCCTTGGAGCTCATCCAATGCCACCTGACCCCTCTTCCTTTATGGTCTAGTATATAAGCTGGAGATGATTAACACTGTCTCCCAGTAATCCAATACATTGATACGTGGGAGGCATTTAATACTTTGAGAACAGGATACCCAGTTACCAAAGTGGCTGTAATGCTCTCATACATGTCCGGAAGAAGAACCAGCACCTAGCTGTTATCTCTGTTCTAGAATTGACAATTTTGTATAACCCCTCACCAAAAGCATGCCTGCACGGCAGGGTCATATGTTACAATCTCTGTAACATGCCTTGATCAGTGAGCTGCCTCCGGAAGCTGTCATTTTTCTGGATGGAAGTTCCACGTGCCATCAAGTACTGTGCTCCTGCATAAACAGGAATCCCGTAGAAGGATGCACTCACTCAGACCCAGCAAAACTCAGCAATTTCCGTTGCTGTTCAGTATGTAGGTTCGAGTTCTAGCCCGGTTTATAGCTCAGGATTCTTGGGCTTGCCGTGGAGTCTCGCAAGCAGGGTAAAAGTACAGGTAGTCACGAGGTTAACTCGGTAATGGAAACCACCAACTGCATTCCTGTGCGGCCAGTTGTTCTGACACTGGGGCCTTGTCTCGAGCTGGGAGAGTCCGTTAGGCTTGGCTGGTGCTTGACTGTCCGTACTTCATTCTCCTCCATGTGAAATTTTTGTTCATTGCATTGCATATTCCTGTGCTGCTAACCTCTCTGTGAATTCCTGAGCTAGCCAGCTGGAAGCCCGGAAATCCGCAGTTGCTGGGTTTTTGCTGCTCTTGAAGAACTTCAAAGTCTTAGGCAGCCTGTCATCCTCCCAGTGCAGCCAGTCTATTGGCGTCACTCAGGTAAGGGCCACTAGATTGACTGGCTGCCGGACGTTGCCTAAAGCCCAATAGCATATAACCATCTTTTTGTTGTTGTTCCTTCATGGGTCTCAGTAGCTCAGACCGCCCTAAATTTACAGTAATCCTCATGCGTCTGGCTCCTGCGCGCTGGAATTGTTAAGTGTAAGAACTGTCTTCATCCCATACTTATTAATAGCAGATTTGCTCTGTGTTAGACTGTTGTCTGATGTGGCAGAGAAGAGCCTTTATTTAGCTGCTGAACTAGACACTTGATTGAAATGTATATATAAAATTCATATATAAACCGGGGCGGTGTGGTGCACGCCTTTAATCCCAGCACTCGGGAGGCAGGGATATGATGGATCTCTGTGAGTTTTAAGCCAGCCTGGTCTACAGAGTAAGTTCCTGGACAGGTTCCAGAGCTACAGAGAACTCCTGTCTTGAAAAACAAGAGAAAACTAACTCTCTCTCTCTCTCTCTCTCGCTGTGAAGAGACACCATGACTACAGAAACTCTTTTTTTAATATTTATTTATTTATTATGTATACAATATTCTGTCTGTATGTATGCCAGCAGTCCAGAAGAGGGCACCAGACCCCATTACAGATGGTTGTGAGCCACCATGTGGTTGCTGGGAATTGAACTCGGGACCTCTGGAAGAGCAGGCAGTGCTCTTAACCACTGAGCCATCTCTCCAGCCCCCAGAAACTCTTATAAAGGAAAACATTTAATTGGGCCTGGCTTACCGTTCAGAGGTCCAGTCCATCATCGTCATGGTGGGACATGAAGGCGGGCAGGCAGACATGGTGCTGGCTCAATGATGATGAGCAGATTCAGCCGCAGCCCCAAGACTCCTGAGTAGACAAGCATGGTCAGCTGGCCCTGAGAGGCCCCTGTTGCAAAGTTACCCACGGTCCACACAGCTTATTTCTGAATTCTGCATTCTTTAGTAGGGCTACCATCGGAAGCATTTGGATATACTGGGTTAAATAAAATAGCAGCACCTCATCTGCTCCATTTTGCTTTTTTTTAAAACTTATTTTTTAAAGATTTTATATGTAAGAGTGTTTTGCTTGCCTGTTAGTATGTGCACATCTAAACAAGACTATCTCTAAAGCTCTTCCGTGTTTGTGGATGTTAAGAGCTAGACTTTTATGGAAGTCTTAAGGGTTTTAATAAAATCATGAATATCATGACTACTGGGTTGTCATAACTACATTGCATGAGGTAATCTACCTTCCTGGGTGGTGCATTGTTCAAGTAAACCTTTTTAGAACAGCTTTAACCAGGATGAGTGACGTGATAATGGTCATATCTGCCTGGGTCCTGTGTTTTAGCGCAGGGAGAGCTAGGCCTGGGATGTTTCCCTGGCCAAGGATACATCCTCCTGAGTGGACACTGCTTTAGGAGGCTGGACACGAGCTGCACTCTCCCTTCCAGGTGCAGGTGGACGTGCATAGCCGCTACAATGCTGTTGCCAATGAAACCTTTTGCCTTGAGATCATAGACAGTTTGAGAAGATGCTTAGGCCAGCAGGCTGATGTTCGGCTCCTGCTTTATGAGGTAAGTCAGGAAAGGGGAAAAATGTGTGTCGACCCCTCCAGAGAACAATCCTTCTTATGTCAGTCTTTTTCTGGTTCTAGGAATACAGTAGATAGGCCCTTGTGCAGTTAGAGTCAGTGGGTAGTAATAGTGAGTTGTAAAATTGTAAATAATTGATATGTCTTAACCATTTTAGTTTAATCTGAAATATTTAGATGTACTGCTAATATACCAATCTGAATTTCACACCAAGTTTGTTATTTGTGAGTTCTGTCTGTCATACACAGCATACCCTTACTTTATGGCCTCAAATTTCAAATTTTTGCATACCTAAACTAACATCAAAAACTTCCAAGAGTACTGGGCAGTGGTGGCACACGCCTTTAATCCCAGCACTTGGGAGGCAGAGACAGGCAGATCTCTGTGAGTATGAGGCCAACCTGGTCTACAAAGTGAGTTCCAGGACAGCCAAGGACTGTTTCACAGAGAAACCCTGTCTCGAGAAGGGGGGGAAAAAAACCTTCCAGGAACTGGGTATGGTGTCACATACCTTTGCTCCTGGTGCTGGCGAGACAGGATATCTTAGTTATTTTTCTGTTGCATGCTAACAGCTTGGCTAAGACAACTTCTAGGAAGAAGTGTTTAATTGGGGCTTACAGCTCCAGAGAATTCCTCACCGTTACAGGCAGTTGTGAGCTCCTGGTGTTGGTACTGGGAATGGAACTTAGGTTCTCTGCAAGAGTAACAAGTGCTCTTAATCACTGAGCTATTAATTGGGGGGAGCTAAGCATAATGACCCCATCTATAACCCTAGCACTGGGGTGACCAAGGAAGATGAATCATAAAAATTCATGAAAGTCTGGGCTACATAGGCTTTGTTATGCATGCAAGCACACATGAACACGCATGCTCAGGCACATACATGTTGCACAGATACACAGGCGCATACACACATGCATGTATAGGCACATACATACATGCACAGGCGCATACACACATGCATGTATAGACACATACATACATGCACAGGCGCATACACATGCTGCAGAGATACATACTTGCTCAAACAACATTCCTTTATGAGAAAATCTTTTAGAGCCAGGAAGTGGTGGTGCACTCCTTTGATCCCAGCACTCAGGAGGCAGGGGCAGGAGGATCTCTGTGAGTTTGAGGCCGGCCTGGTCTATAAGTCGAGTTCCAGGACAGCCCAGGCTGTTAAACTGAGAGACCCTGTCTCAACCCCTCCAACACCCCCCCATCCCCATATCTTTTAGAAACTCTTCAGCAAACTAAGTTCAGGAAGGAGCTTCCTCATCCTTAGGATAGTGACAGGAAAAGTGCTGTCCCCTCTGGTGAGGAATGAAGGTGTTTATTCTCAGTGATTGAATTGAGGTGCTGTCTGCTACAAGACACGGGAAGATAAAGGCATACAAATTAAAAGGAGAAACTAAAGCTGTGCTGCGCTGCATAGCATCAACAAGACCAAACAATAACCACTGTAATAACCACTGTTAAAGTGCTTTCGTAAGGTACACGGCAGTGTACGCTGTGAAAAGAGCAACAGCCTGGGAAGGTTTGTGAAAATTACACACCCTAGCACTGAATAGCTAGAGATGGAAATAAAATAGCTAAAACAAATGGAAAGGAAACACTTAAGCCTCCAAATGTTATGAGAGAAGAATAAATAAAATAATTTCTTTTCCTTTTGTTTATTAAAGAATAAATAAAAGAAAGATAAGACATGCTTACACATTGCTCAATATTAGTGGTATTTTAAATCTCAAATCTGTAGTTGCAGTGTGTCCCTAATGGAAATTTTAGAGTGTACGTGTAAAGTAAGAAATTTTTTTTTTAAATTTTTTTCTTAAACATTTATTTATTTATTATGTATACAATATTCTGTCTGTGTGTATGTCTGCAGGCCAGAAGAGGGCACCAGACCTCCTTACAGATGGTTGTGAGCCACCATGTGGTTGCTGGGAATTGAACTCAGGATCTTTGGAAGAGCAGGCAATGCTCTTAACCTCTGAGCCATCTCTCCAGCCCCCAAGTAAGAAAATTTTATGGGTTGCAGAGATGGCACAACAGTTCAAGGGTGCTTAGCTCTTCAGAGAACCTGAGGTTCCCAGCCCTGTTTTAGGTGGCTCATAACTGCCTATAATTTCAGCTCTGGGGAATCCAGTGTCCTCTTCTGGCCTGCACAGGTACCCACACACCTGTGGCACATCGTCACCCCCGCCCCACACAGACAACACATTTAAAAAACCGAGAACCGAGTAAGAGAAAGAATGATCTCGTCCCTGTGTTGTTTCTAGGGCTTCTATGATGTTCTTCGCCGCAACTCCCAGCTGGCCAGTTCGATCATGCAGACTCTCTTCTCACAGGTGAGCTGTCTTTATGGCTCGTAGGGATCAGATGAGGCAGGATGATGCTTTTCAGACTGGTGAATACAGCACAGCTCACAACTAGGAGTGAATTGTAGGCACGCCTTGCTTCACTGACCTGCTGCTGTCTTGCTAGCCTCTAAGTCTTCCTTGAAGTCTCAGTCTTCTCCTTAAATCAGGACACTTTATGGAACTATTCAGTTTTATTATATATATGTTTTGAGACATGGGTGTAGTCCAGGCTGCACTCAAATGATTGTGTAGTTGAAGCTGTCTTGATTTTTTCTGAGCTTTAATTCTGCTGTTGAAGTGCTGGAATTTCAAACATCCACCACCACTTCAGGCTTCAGAAAATTGCTTGGTTGGTTCTTTTGAGGTAGGGCCTCACTGTATATCCCTGCCTGTCCAGGGTGGTGGTGGCCCACGCCTTTATTCCCAGCACTCGGGAGGCAGAGGCAGGTAGATCTCTGAGTTCGAGGCCAGCCTAGTCTACACGAGCTAGTTCCAGGACAGGCTCCAAATGTACAAAGAAACCCTCTCTCGAAAACCCCCTCCCAAAAAAAAGTATTTGCCATCACACCTTAGTTAGAGTTCTGTTTCTGTGAAGATATACAACTCTTGCAAAGGAAAACATTTAATTGGGGCTGGTTTACAGTTCCGAGGTTTAGTCCATGGTTTAATCCATGGCTGGAAGCATGGTGGCATGCAGTGGACACAGTACTGGAAAAGGAGCTGAGAGTTCTATATCTGGATCCACAGAGCACAGGCAGAGAACTGACTTGAATTTCTGAGACTTCAAAGCCTGCCCCCTATGACAAACATCCTCCAACAAGGCCACACCTCCTAATAGTGCCACTCACTATAGGCCTATGGGGGCCACTTTTATTCAAATCACCACAGCACCCAACTCAAAAGGTGTTTTAAATCAATGACACACTTGAAAGGACCATCAAGATGAGCCAAGTTCCGATGAAGACATCACATATAAATAAATTCTCAAGATTCTTATATTAAGCATTATCAAAATCTTTTTTTTTTAACCAGCTATATAACATTCTCCACTGGGAGGGCTCAGGTAGGCCCCTAGTCCACCATTTTTCTGCAATTTGATGTGGACTGATAAGAGGCCATCCCCATTGCTTCATGGTAATTCGGGGGAAAAAAAATCCATTTGAAATTAAGGTCTTAGATATTAAGCTATTGGAAGGCCTTTGCTCTCGGAAACTCCTCCCTGGGTTTTGGCGTGTTCCTCTGGATAATGTGTGCCCCGGTAGCTAAATCATATCTTCCAGGCATCATCACACTGTAACAAGAACTGAAAACATGTTTGAGGCATAGAGCAGCGCTTTCCAACATAGGTCAGCATGTGGACCAGTAAAACCCTGCAGGCTTCAGGAGAGGACAGACAGACGCAAATAAGAGCCAAGATTCGTTTTAAGGCTCTGTTGTGTTTGATGTTCTTTGTGCGTATTGTAATGGTTAAACCTTACATAGCTTTACTTTCACCAGTAGACTCAGTTTTCAAATGAAGACCTAAGATTTGGGTTACTGTCACAATTGGTAATAGAGATAGTACTGGTTTAGACTCAGGAGGCAATACTCTTTTTAAGAATCTTATTCGTTGGCAGCTTCGCACATGTATGTAGTATATCTTTTTTTTTTTCTTCAAAGATTTATTAATTTATTATGTACACAGTGTTCAGCCTCCATGTCTGCCTGCAGGCCAGAAGAGGGCACCAGATCTCATTACAGATGGTTGTGAGCCACCATGTGGTTGCTGGGAATTGAACTCAGGACCTCCAGAAGAGCAGTCCGTGCTCTTAACCTCTGAGCCATCTCTCCAGTCCTATGTAGTATATCTTGATCATGTTCGCACACATCCCAGCTCCCCCGGGCACCCCCTAATACATTCCCGATCCACCTTCAGGCTTTCCTTGTTCTTTTTGTAACCCACTGGGTCCATTGACACTGATTTGCCCCTGTATTTTTCATCAGATTTTCTGAAACCGCTGGTTGCCTTTGCAGGTTTAGAGGCCGATAAGAAGGGAGTAAGAGTAGAAAAAGTTGCCTTGATCGGGACTGTGCCGGCAGCGCTTTGAAAGGCCGTGGCAGGCCAAGCCATAGAAATCGGTTACGTCATTCTTTGGGCAGTTGGGAGATGTGTCTTAGAAGGCTCAGGTGCCGTCAGCGCGAACCGTTAAATACTCAGGAAGTATTCACGAGTCCTGATTTTTTCTGTCTCATTGTACAGTTAAAGCTGTTCTATGAGCCAGAGCCTGATCTGCTACCTCCTCTGAAGCTGGGAGCTTGTGTTCTGACCCAAGGAAGTCAAATCTTTCTACAAGAACCGCTGGTAAGACTTGCCCGCCCCCGCAGCCCCTGGCTCACCACTGTCAGTGGTAAGGTTGACCACAGTAGGTCCCATCCTCCACGAACCTTTTCTAGTTCTTTCAAGGAGTTTTACTCTTTACTTTGCCGTATCCATTATCGGTGACCCATTCTAAGATTTATTCGTTGCATGTTATGTGTAGGAGTATTTGCCTGCATGGCTGTATGTGCATCATGGGTGTGCCTGGGGCTTAGAGGCCACAAGAGGTCACTGGGTCCCCTGGAACGGAGTTACAGCCAGTTGTGAACCACAGAGTGGTTGCTGGAACTCGAACCCAGGTCCTCTACAAGAGGGCCAAGTGCCACTGCTGAGCCAGCTCCCTGTTTTGATCTCTTGATCACCGTCTCCCTGTTAGTACTTCACTAATCATGACAACCACCTCTTCCAAAGAGTGTCATATCTGTCCCTTGCAGAGCTTTGGTTACACACTGATGGAAGGGTGGTACACGCAGGAGTCAATAAATCTGTTTCCTTAGTCTGGAGGGAGTGTGTGGCTTCAGTTGAGCTGCGGTGTGCACTCTGGTGAACTCTAGAGAGACGAGGCCAGGGCTTCGTTCTTAGCTAGCTGCAGAATGGTGGGAAGAGATGGCAAAAAAGTGAACCGCCAACAAGTGACTAGGAAAATGGGGAGAGGTTGAGTTATCCCATCTGGTCTTCGTTAATGTAGCGTCAGTGCCATGAGGTGAGGCCCTATTGGTGTCCCGAAGATTCCCTCAGCATAAACCCTGTCTCTATAACAGCTTTCAGGACTTGGGAGCTAGAGGCCGGTTAGCTTCCCAGTGGGGCTCTCACGGTGTTGGTATCAAGTCAGAGAGCACGTGGAGTTTCCTTCTGAAATGTTAGCGCCTTATGGGGCCAGTTCTTGGGAAACACCACTGTCGGTTCAGTCTTTCAGAAGAAACACACTTCCCTTCCCCAGCTTTGCTAATTCAGATGCACCTGCTGCGTGGTGCCAGCGAGTCCCACGAGCTGCGGAACAGTGCTGTAGGTGGTTGTTTCTCGTTTGCTTCTAGGATCACCTGCTGTCTTGCGTTCATCATTGCTTGGCCTGGTATAAGAACAGAGTGATCCCCCTGCAACAGGGGGATGAAGGAGAGGAAGAAGAGGGGCTGTGCCGTGAGCTGGACGACATGCTAGAGTCCATTACTGTCAGAATGATTAAGAGTGAGCTAGAAGACTTCGAGCTGGTAATTGCTGAGCCCTCGGCTGCACGGACCGACGGAGGCTTTAGTAGTGCGCTAATTTGTATTTGTCTTTTAGGATAAATCAGCAGATTTTTCTCAGAGCACTAGCGTCGGCATCAAGAATCATATCTGTGCCTGTCTCATAATGGGAGTCTGTGAAGTTCTGATAGAATATAATTTCTCCATCAGTAACTTCAGGTAAGGGTTGTTGTGACCCTTCATATAGTTTTATCATTTGCTGGTTTACTCTAGCGTCACATTAGTGCTAGGATTAAAGTGCTGGGAGTAAAGATGTGTGCCACCACACTCAATGTTCTTTCTACCAGGCCTGTGAATTTTGTCTTCCTGCAAGCTTTCATTTATTCAAAGTTCCCAGATCTTCAATTCAAGTACTTTTGACTCTTAATAGAAGGATCTTTTGTTTTGGGGTAGTACTGAGCTTCCATGAACTTTGGAAGATATCAGAGGAAAGAAAAAAGGCTCCTGAGGTTGCTGTGACTTAGGAATGCCATGCTAATGAGGGCCCATTAACTCACAACGCCAGCTCTAAGATGAGACATTTGTATGGGGCTCTCCATCTTCTCTGGGAAAGAAGGCACAAGGAGCTGACGCTGCTTGTCTTTGCTCTCTTCCCTTTGGCGTAGCAAGAGTAAGTTTGAGGAGATTCTGAGCCTATTTATGTGTTACAAGAAGTTCTCTGACATCCTCAATGAAAAAGCTGGTAAAGGCAAGACGAAAATGACCAGCAGGACAAATGATAGCCTCTTGTCCATGAAGTTTGTGTCTGATCTTCTCACGGCTCTCTTCAGGTAAGTCTCCTTGTGCCGAGAGGCAGTTCAGTAAAGGGAACGCGTGCCCAGTTTCCCCGCATAGCCTATCTGGAGTCACAGTGCATGCCGTATTACGGACAGTAGGAAATAAGTTAGGAGGTTTAGTTTGCTTCACATGAAGATTGCATCACTCAAGGTAGGCTTTCTATAGAGGGAGGTGTGTCTCAGCATTATTAAAGCAGACGGGAAGCCAGGGCCTAGTGAGTGAGAAGTATGAATTCTAGGCCAGCACTCACCACGTGGCTGTATCTCACCCCATTTTTCTTTTGGACAGGATCATGTTCAGTTGCCCAGTCAGCCTTAAATTTGCAATCTTCCTGTCTCTGCCTCCCAGGTGCTAGGATTACAGGCTGCACCACCAGGCTCAGCTCCTTCCTCCCTCCCTTTACTCTCTCTCTAGAGACAGCATCCAGAGTCATGAAGAGAGCCTGTCTGTCTTGCGGTCCAGCAATGAGTTTATGCACTACGCAGTGAACGTAGCTCTGCAGAAGGTCCAGCAGCTAATACGAAGAGGGCACGTGAGTGGTCCTGATGGCCAAAACCCAGACAGGATCTTCCAGAACCTCTGTGACATAACTCGGTAAGCCGCTCTCACCTGCAGACTGGGAGCTTGTGTGTTGTGGATTCTGCAAGACAGGAAATTCGGGAGAGACGATCGGGCGTGTGTCAGGAGTGAAAGCGGAGCATCTCATAGTGAGGCTTTTTTCTCTTCTGTTTTGTGTGGCTTCTTTGTCTCATATAAAATCTCACTGCATTCTCAGGAGCGAAAAGGGTATATTATTGCATAGTGACTGAATTGTGCATAAAGTAAGCATGACATTCCTAACTGTACACACACTTGACAGCAGATTAAACACTTACAAGAGATAAATGGCGCCTGTACTGCAGCACCTGGCTAAGAAAGCAGTCATAGTGAACGGCCTTACAGAGCACATGGCCATCGAGAATAAGGTGATGGACAGACTGTTACATCCCTGTTGTACATTGAATACTTCTTAGCTATAAATACAGAATAGGGGCTGGAGATGTAGCTTACTTAAGAAAGCTTGTCCAGCAGGCGTGGGACCCTGGGTTTGCACTCCAGCAGTACGTAAAGCCAGGTGCGGTGGCACAAACCTGTAATCCCAGCCCTAGGAGGGTCAGAACTTAGCCACACAGCAAGTGTGAGAGACAAGCCTGGCTGGGGCTGGAGACGGCTCTGAGGTTAAGACTGTTCTTCCCGATGACCCAGTTCTATTTCCAGCACCCATTTGAACACAGTGGTTCAAAACCGACAGTAACTCAGTCCCAGGGGATCTGATACCTTCTGCAGGCATTGCACACACGTGGCCCTCAGACATGCATGCTTACGAAAGCATTTATACACGTAAAATTTAAAAAGGAAAAAAAAATTTAAGAGATAATCCTGGGTAATAAGGTCCTGTTTAACAATAAAAACAAAAGAATACCATCTATCAATATTTGCAGCAAGAGGTGAACCTGAAAGACATGCTGGATCACGAAGGCTCTAGCCTTCTGCTCAATGATAGCACTTGCATAGGGTTACTTGTAAAATGCATAATTGTGGGAAAAGAAATGAGGCCGGTAGTTGCTTGTAAATCAAGGAGGAGAGTTGACTATCAGGGAGGCATAGAAACACCTCAGTGGTGAGGCAGTTTTATAGCTGTAAGTTTCTGAAACTTCACAGAACCTTTGTTTACACAGGATAAAGTGTACTATATCTAGATTGACATTAATGGTTCGTGTTGACAACTTTCCCAATCTTTAGGGTCTTACTGTGGAGATACACGTCTATTCCTACCTCTGTGGAAGAGTCAGGAAGGAAAGAGAAAGGAAAGAGCATCTCACTGCTGTGCTTGGAGGGTTTGCAGAAGACATTCAGCGCTGTGCAACAGTTCTATCAGCCCAGGATCCAGCAGTTTCTCAGGGCTCTGGGTAGGTATTACAGGGTCATAAATAACTTGCTTTGGTTTCTCTATAACCAGACCCTTTGAGTCTACCCGTTCACCTACCAGAGAATGCCTAAGAAGGGCCCTAGAGCTGCTGAGAGTGGATTCAGGGCCTGAGAAGGATACTAGGAAGGCTGAGGGTGACATCTACTGGATCCAGGATCTGAGAAGGGCCCTGGGGCTGCTGAGGGTGACATCTAGTGGATTCAGGATCTGCGCTTAACTGCAAATGGTGACAGCATTAAGAAAGCCGGGCATGGTGAGGCAGGCCTTTAACAGTACTTGGGAGTCAGAGGCAGGTGGATCTCTGTGAGTTTGAAGCCAGCCTGGTCTTCATAGTGACTTCTAGGACAAGCAAGAGCTACATAATAAAGGAGGCCCTGTCTCAGTCCCCACAAAAAGAAAGTGAAATTTAAAAACATTTAAATCAGCCTCCAGACTTTTTTTTTTTTTTTTTAATTCTAAAATTTTAGCTATCCCTAGGCGTGATGACTCAGACCTGTAATCCCAGTACTTGGAAGCTAAGTTAGGATCACAAGTTCGAGGCCAGACACAGCTCATATTGAATATCTGGACTGTGAAACCTAGTCTCAAAATAATATAATTCTAAATATTAGTTCCCTCCAAAGTTGGCGCGTGGTGGTACATGCATAAAAAACCTAGCACTCAAGGGGGAAAGGCAGGAAGAGAACCACAAATTTGAGCCTGCATAATAATTTCTAGGGTAGCAGAGGCTACAGAGTGAGACCCTACCAAAACCAAGTGTGTGTGTATTACGTCTGTTGTTTTTTAAATAATTTTTATTTGTATTTTATGTACACTGATATTCTCCCTGCCTGTATGTCTGTGTGAGGGTGTCAGATTCCTTGAACAGGAGTTATAGACAGTTATTAGCTGCCATATGGGTGCTGGGACTTGACCCCAGGCCCTCTGGAAGAGCAGCCAGCACTCCCAACCACTGAGCCATCTCTCCAGCCTCTATATATATATAATTAAACAAAAAGTGCCTGGGCCTGGAGAGGTGGCTCAACAGTTAAGAACACTTGCTGCTTTTCCAGAGGACGTGGATTTGATTTCCCGTACTCTCATGGTGGCTCACAGCTGTCTGTTAACTCCAGTTCCAAGGGGATCTGATGCCCTCTTCTAGCCTCTACAGTTACGTGGGTACTGCATATACATGGTGCACAGATACACATGCAGGCTAAATACCCATACACATAAAATTAAAATAAAGGAAAAATTCTATGTAATAAGAGGCCGTTTGTTCCCAGCTGCCCAGCCCTGAAATAACCACACAGAAACTGTATTAATTAAATCACTGCTTGGCCCATTAGCTCTAGCTTCTTATTGGCTAACTCTTACATCTTAATTTAACCCATTTCTATTCATCTTTGTATTGCCACGTGGTTTACTGGGTATAGTTCCATTTGGTGTCTGTCTCTGGCAGGGTTATATGGCTTCTCCTGACTCTGCCTTCTTTCTCCCAGCATTCAGTTTAGTTTTCCCCACCTAGCTCTGTTCTGCCCAGCTATAGGTCCAAAGCAGTTTCTTTATTCATTAACCAATAAAAGCAACACAGACAGAAGGACCTCCCACACTAATTCTAAGTAAACAGAGGACTGAGAACACAGCCTAGTTGGCAGAGCGCTTGCCTAGCACATATGAGGACCTAGGTTCAATCCCTAGTACCAGAGTGCGGGGTTGTTGGTGTGGGGGCCGAAGAAGAGCTGTTATCTCAGCATTCAGGAAGCCGAGACGGGGATTACAGGTTCAGGGCTTACATAGGACGTTCCAGGCTGGGTTGGGTTATTACTTTGACCTTGTCTCAACAAAAACAAAACAAAAACCTAAGTCAGTTTGAAAAAAGATAGGATTCTTTCCATTTCCAGATGTCACAAGCACAGAAGAAGAGGGAGAAGAAGCAGGTGTCACTGTCACTCAGAGAGCTACGTTCCAGATCCGGCAATTTCAGGTGAGAAGCTTGGGGAAGCGGTTGTGTTAGCCTCTTCCAGGAGGAATCATACAGGAAGTAACAGGCGGCCCTTAGATGTTGGGACAGCTCCAGTGAGGATCCAGGAGGCAGAACTCGGGGCCTCTGAGAATCCTTTTTAAGATAACAGAGAAAGAAGCCAACTCTCAGGGCAGGTTTTTTTGGTTTGATTATATGGTATAATTTGGCCTTGTCCACGGATATCTGGACTGGAAAACAGAAGCCTGTGATGTTTCTTACCTGTAACTTTCCAAGTACCAGTGTGTTCCATGGCCAGGGTTTCTGTAGAAGGAGCAGTGGGCTGCGTTCCGCCGCCCAGCTCCTGCACGGCTAGCTTATGCCCCGAAATAATTACACTGAAACTGTATTCTTTTAAACACTGCTTGGCCCATTAGTTTTAACTATTGGCTAGCTCTTACATATTGATCTAACCTATTTCTAATATTGTGTGTAGCACCACAAGCTGGCTTACCAGGAAAGATCTTAACCTGCATCTGTCTGGAGTGGGAGAATCATGGCGACTGCCTGACTCGGCTTCTTTCTCCCAGAATTCTGTTCAGTCTACTCCGCCTACCTAATTTTCTGTCCTATCACAGGCCAAGCAGTTTCTTTATTAACCAATGAAAGCAACAGATTAGAAAGAAGTCACTCCCACATCATGTTTCTTTAACAGATGATGGTTAACGTTCCTGCTGTGTCCCAGGACTTCTTGTTGCTGGAACACTGACAGGAACAGAAGAGGTAAAGCTCCTGTAGGGAGCTCCACTGTAGTCAGGAAGACTGCTGAACGGGTACTTGAATCAGACTGATTCCACGGTCAGCTGAGTTTGGGGCCTGGTCTAGCCTTAAGGTCAGAGGCTGAACACCAGCTCCAAGCAGATGAGAACCACCAGAAACTAGTTTGTACCCCTGTGTACTGCAGGGAGTAAGACAAGAGCCGGCCCTGGTTTTCAAGAGAACGCTCAGTCTATAGTTGAAACAGAAAACTGCTGCTCACTCCAGGTTTCCTTCCCGATTTTTATCCCCTTGGGATTACATAGCTTTGAATCCTTCTGTTCCAGCCGTGATGCTTTCTGGGTAGATGTCTCTTCTCTGGTACAAAATGCCTACTCCCATCTGTGTGCATCTATTCTTTTGCAGAGGTCCCTGTTGAACTTGCTGAGCAGTGAAGAGGAAGATTTTAACAGCAAGGAGGCCTTGCTGCTCATCGCGATTCTCTCCACCTTGTCCAGGCTGCTGGAGCCCTCCTCTGCTCAGGTAGCAACCGTGTTGTTGAGTCCCTGTTAGGGCCCCTCTAAGGCAAGAACCATGTCATCATAAAAGCATACAGCTAGGGCTGAGGCTGTGACTGCTCCGTAGGGCCCGTGCTTACCGGTACACAGCCCTCTGTCTGGTCCCCAGACACAAATCTGGTGTGACGGCGGCGCATGCCTGTCACAAAGGAAGACCGTACACTCAGGGCTATCCTTGGCTACATAGCAAGTTTGAGGCCAGCTTACTTCAAAAAAAAAAAAAAATCAAACAGAAGTATCCCTCTAACTGTGCTTTTGAAGGAGCTATAGAGTGTGTCTTTTCCTATACATTGTTTCTGTCAGAGCACATACAGCCAGAGACGGTCAAGAGCATACTGGTTTTGTTTGTTTCGTTGACTCTAAACACTGTTTATATCAGACAGGTTTGTCTTTGGTGGCCTCAGCCTTTTTAGCACGGTTGGTTCTTTCTCAGTCCTGTGCTTCCTGTTGTTTCTACCTTTTCTGAAATGACAGAGCTTTAATTGTAAAGGTAGCTGAAGTTCAGCGTTTGGATTTCGTAGGACCAAGTAAAGTGTGAGGAGAATTTAGCAAATGATATGCCATGAGTGTGACCACAATCCCAAAGTAGAAATACCTGCAGAGATGGATTATATGTATATATGTGTTAGGTGTGTATACATATAGATTGCCCATCCAAATGAGCATTCACGCATAAAAAGAATGAGAGAAGGACCGTTTTGGTGGGTCTCTTCAACAGTAGTATCTCCACAGGGCAGTAAAGGATGCCATAGGAGCCAGCAATCCATCCATATCTACCCCTCCTGTTGAAGCTCTAGGGGCCAAGGCTTGTCATGTGGGCTCTTGCCACCAGGAACTGCTGTTCCCTGAGAGATTGTCACCTATGGTGGGGGTGGGGGGGGGAGGCGTTTGAGAATTGGAGGGCAGAGGCTAATGTCCTAGATCCAGGTTAGCCTGGGAAAAGTTCCCTGTCTCCTCCTCCCCAGCTACAGTTCACCCATACTGAAACAGCTTCATTTGTTCATACCTCATTTGTTTTGTATAGAGAGGGGAAAAAAAAAAAAACTGGGAAAGGAACAGAATTGTATGGTTGGGGGAGTTTGAGAAAAAATGAGTTTTGGGAAGACCGATGGATGGAAAATATTTAATAGGAAAAAAGAAGACAGGGTCTGACTTTGTAGCCCTGGCTGGCCTAGAAATCAGTGTGTAGATTGAGCTGGCCTTCAACTCACCGAGATCTGCCTGCTTCTGCCTCCCAAGTGCCACCATACCCAGCACCGTTTTATTTAACAACTGAAGGTCTTTTGTTTAGTTTATGCAGATGTTATCCTGGACGTCTAAGATTTGCAAGGAATACAGCCTGGGTGAGTTTCCTGTCTCCCTTCCTGACGGCTTTCTACAGAACCATCATCACCAAAACCTTTACAGCGTCACAAGCTGGCCAGTCTGCAAAAGCCATAACAATGAGTGATTCACACTTCCTTCCCTTCCTGCTCCTAGAGGATGCCTCATTTTGTAAGAGTTTGATGAGCCTCTTCTTCAGCCTGCATGTCTTACATAAGAGTCCTGTCACCCTGCTTCGTGACTTGTCCCAGGATATCCATGGGCAGCTGGGAGACATAGACCAGGTAGCACAGCAAGTATAGTGTGGCATCCTGTGTGGGGAGTGAGGTCAAGGCACTGGTCTTAGGTCTTGCCTCTCCCTTTCCAGGATATAGAGATAGAGAAGACAAACCACTTTGCAGTAGTGAATCTGAGAACAGCTGCCCCCACTGTCTGCGTGAGTGCTGATGTGATCTGTGGCAAACAGCCCTTGCCGTCCCTTCCGCCCAGCTCCATCCACCTAAAGAGTGCTACAGTGGCTTCTGTCCTCGGGCCTGGAGGGTCCCTGTGGGCGCTGCGCTTGCTATTGCCCCAGCAATGTGAACCATGCCACACGCTCTTTTCCTTCCACAGTTACTCGTTCTGAGTCAGGCCGAGAAAGTCCTAGAAGAAGTGGACTGGTTAATCGCCAAGATTAAGGGCTCAGTGAACCAAGAAACCCTATCTGCTGAAGTGACTCCAGGTGGGGATTGTAATAAGGTGGAGCCCTTAAACTGGTTTTCCTGAGGTGGTTTGCTTTAATTCTCCTTTACTGTTAAGGAGGAGACTGAACCGCATCAATTTCGTTCCTCTTCAGAAGCTGCCTCTTCTCAAGCAGTCCCGTCAAGTCCTCTCATGGAGAAAGCCATCATCATGCAGCTGGGGACCCTGGTTACATTCTTCCATGAGCTGGTGCAGACGGCCCTGCCGTCAGGCAGCTGCGTGGACACTTTACTAAAGGACCTGTCCAAAATCTACAGCACCCTAACAGCGTTTGTCAAATACGTGAGTTTTTGGAAGATAATCTGGCCCGCCCTACCTTCTGTGCCCGCCGGCCAGGTGCAGAGTGCCTCAGAACACAGCTCTTGCCACACCGTTGGCACAGTTTCATTTTCATTCGATCAGTAGTTAGTGGGGTTCTCCCCAAGTCAGGGGAGACGTACTTTAAGTCAGCATTGTCTGGCATGATGGATTTCACCTCTGGTGGGAATGACCATACCCATTTCGGGTCCTCAGTGAATCCAGGTGATGGGAACTGCTTAGTTTATGCTCTGTTAGTGATCTAGACTAAGTACCTAGGCATAGACGACACAGCCCTCTCTAGAACGTGCACTGCTGTTGTGCTCCAGCTGCTAAGCTACTGTGATGGAGACCCCGGGAGCCTGTCTTCTTTACTAGCAACTTAAGATTTACTTCCTAGCTGTAAGAACTCTGCCTGAAGGAGTCTTAAAGCATTGAGCTGGCCAAGTCGAAGCAAACCTATTGTTGCCTGTTGTCTGGGAAGTTTGTGTGCTCAAAGAAGGGAAGGGAAGCTGTGTGTCTGGCCAGGCTATGCATATTCCCTTTCCTCTGTAGTCAGAGCAATGAGACATGCTCCATGGCTGATGGGTAATCTAGGAACTCTTTGTTAGTGTCTGCAGGTGTGTCAGAGCTCCAGAGGAATTCCCAACACTGTGGAAAAGTTGGTGAGTTGAGAGCAGCTTTCCTAAGGGTGGGGGAATAGTTCATTGCTACAGTCACACCCGTATCCTTTTCCTTTCTAAGGGTGGGGGAATAGTTCATTGCTACAGTCACACCCGTATCCTTCTCCTTTCTAAGGGTGGGGGAATAGTTCATTGCTATAGTCACACTCATATCCTTCTCCTTTGATACAGGTGAAGCTGTCCGGCTCTCATCTGACGCCCTTGTGTTACTCCTTCATTTCTTATGTACAAGTAAGTGATCTGGAGGCAAGAAAGGACTTAATGGAGGGCTGGCGCGATGAGTCAGTCCTGGTCTTTTTCTCTTAATGCTTGCAGGTGTGTCCTCTCAAACTTCAGATACTTTCTTGTGGATGCCATTCCTTCAAATCTTTTATCTTCATAGGATATATACATCCACTCTTAAACTCAGATTTTGAATCCCCTCCATCTTCAGTTTTGCTTTTGAGACAGTCCTCCTGTGTAGTGCAGACTGGCCTTGAACTTGAGATCCACCTGCTTCCGCTGTCATACCTAGCTTCTTCCTCTCCCTCTTTTGAGACAGGATCTTACTTTGTAGCCCTGGCTAGCCTGGCACTCGCTATATAGATGAAGCCTTGAACTCATAAAGGATCCTCCTGCCCCTGCCTCCCAAGTGCTGGGATTAAAGGCATGTGCCACTGTGCCTTTATCATTCTATCATTCTTCATGTTTATATAGCCACAGAGATTTCATAAAGCATCCTTAGACTGAGATACCTCCGAAAGGGGATCCTAGAATCATGTTCCCTCTCTCAAGAGTCATGTTGGATCACTGGCATTTTAAAAGTTCTGAGAGTTCCAACTGTATGTTTAATAGTGTTCTTCAAACAATTAACAGTCAGGTAACATGACTGGGCAGGATAGAGCTAGAAATACAGTTGTCAGACTCTCATCAACCTCCTTTACTATACTCCAAGTCCTGTTTTTTTATTAGGATAGCTACCACCTAGCCCTTACCTATTATCCTTCTATGCATCAGCTTCTGCCTTCAATATACTCTATATTAGAGGGGTTGTCTGAATGGCTGAAAACAGACAGCTAGTAAAGGACTGAGACTTTAACCCCAGCTAGTTTGACTCTACAGCAGGAGGTCAGCACATTTTCTATAGTAGAGGGCCAAATAGTGGCCCTTTCATGCCCACAGCTCTTTTCTGGTTTGAGTACATAAATGTTATTCCAAACAGGTGGACTAGCTCTGCCTCATGGTTTGCCAGCCTCCTGCTCTAGAATCCTTCACTATTGATTGACCTGGGAATTATAAAGATGCATTTTGTGTGCACTCACTGCCGACCTTGATTGCAATAAAAACCCTTAGCGTTCTGCTCTCAACTATGTGCAAACTAAGGATGTTTCTGTCTCAGATTTAGTTATCCTGGCTGTGAGATTTGGTCTTGTTCTAGTCAGCAGTTATGGGCAGTGCACAGGGTTTACTTGTAGTCTCTACAGGATGCCCTTGGATACAAACCTGGAAAGATGACTCAATTCCCGTGTGGTCAGGTGAAGTCTATCCACAGCTGCTTTCCTTTTCCTTTCCTTAATAAGGGCCTCACACTCTACCCCATTTTCCAGGATTTTAACTTTCTCATACCAAGTACCTCTGAAATCTTTCAGATCATAGCATGGGGCTCTACCTGCCTGTCTCTCTTGTTTCCTGTGCTTCTAGGGCACTGTTTCACTGACTCTGGGTGGTTTGTCCATCTCCCCTCACTTAGGTCTTGATTTTCTTTTGTCCTGTTAGTACTTCATCGTTGACTGTTGTTTCAGGCAGGGTTTTATTTATTGTGTAGCTCTGGCTTTCTTGGAACTATGTAGACCAGACTGGCCTCATTCAAGATCCCTCTGCCTCTTGAGTGCCAGGACTAAAGGTGTGCACCATGACCAGGTTCCTCCTTTCTGTCCAGGAGCCTTACACACTAATCTACAACTCAGGAAGTGTCCCTGTGACCCTTTACACGCTTCCTAAGCATGGTAACTATACTGTACTAAGATTACCTCTAAGAAGACTTACTGTATCTGTATAGCCTTTTAGACAGCTGCCCGGCAGGAAAGCGCCTGTTCCTGCTACCACCTTGACAGTGTCCATTTTAACTGTTTAAATGTGTGCTAGCTGAATACAATGGCTATCCTGCCCTCAAATTCTACATGGTACCTCCAAGAGCACACCCCAGAGGAAGACATCCAGGAGCTGGATTGCATCAATATTTCTGTTCCCCAGATACAGCCTGTAGTCTAGGAATTTGGAGAATGAGACAATGTTTCTGTTTCTTTAGAATAAGAGGAACAACAACCCAAAGCGCACAGAGAAGGAGAAGGCTGCAGCGGGCACAATCATGGTAAGCTGCTTACCTGGCTGTTCAGACGCAGGGGGCCTTATTGTTGGACAAAAATTGTGTAAGAGGTACCCTCTAAAGAGTCCTAAGAATTACCCAGGCGGTAGTGGCAATGCCAGATCTGAGTTCAAGGATAGCCAGGGCTATACAGAGGTACCCTGTCTTGGGGGGGGGGGATATCTAAGAATTGGTGAATGCAGGAAAGCTACTGTACTTTAGGAAATGTGGCTGTAACCGTTCCTTTTAGGATCTAGAAAGGCCCAGGTACAGGCAGGCCTGTCCTCACCACAGTTATTAAAGGGAAATACTAAATACTGAAACTAATGTCGAGAAGACCACTAAGTAAGTTACCGTGTATATCGGTACAGGAAACACGGGGCAGGTCTCGATATGCAGCTGGAAAGCTGCCTCTGAGGATTTAAAAGTGGGATGGTGGCACATGCTGTGATCCCAGGATTCAGGAGGAGGAAGCCTGAGTGACAGGATCCTCATTTGAGGGAACAAGCCCAGCAATGCAAGCGTACTCCCCAGTCAGAAAGTGGGTTTCAAGAATGTAAGTCTGAGGAACACTAGAGAAAAACTTCAAAAGCTATTGAACTTGAAATATAAATTTAAATGTCCTTTTGCCCTTAGGCTAAAGTTCTTCGTGAAACCAAGCCAATCCCTAACCTTGTGTTTGCCATTGAGCAGTATGAAAAGTTTCTGATCCATCTATCAAAAAAGTCCAAGGTAAAAACATGACCACTCCTTTCCTGTTGAAGGCCAAGGTGGGCAGCAACACAGTGCTGGTCACTTCTGACCTGATGGACTCAAGGTCTTCCAGGTACACACTGGGGTGTGTTGAGCTGTCCCTGAGTAAGTGCCTGTCTGCCCCAGGTAAACTTGATGCAGCACATGAAACTAAGTACTTCTCGGGACTTCAAGATCAAAGGCAACATTCTCGACATGGTTCTTCGAGAGGATGAGGAAGATGAAAGTGAAGAGGTCAGTGCCTACTTTTCATACATATTTCTAGGAAAAGTGGCAAACTGCCCTGCCCTAGGTCCTGTTTCTACAGCATTCTGGCTGGCTTTTACACCCTCCCTAGAGTCTCCACTTCATTATCTGAACCCACTGTTTCCTTCCTTGCCTTTGGAAGGGTTCTGTCTTAGGTTTGTTTGAAGCTAGAAGTAACATCAGTAGCCTGAACCCATTCAAATTGCAAGTTTATGTAAAATAACCTGGATTTCTGGCTTAGCAGAAAAGTTGATCCTGAATTCTTTACATCTCTCCCAGCTCCGTCTCCTTAGAAAGGTCACATGGAGCGCTGTTGCGCTTGAGTCCTCTCTCATCCTATCCTGGGATTACAAAAATGCCATTTTACTTAGGATGGAGGTATCTAAACAACCAGCTGGGAGGCAAAGGAGAAGGATGAGTGATACGGGAGTCTTAGTGTTTGCTTTTATTCCCATCCGTAGGGCAGGGCAGGGTCACCCGAGCTTCTGTTCTCCCCTTCTAGGGCAGTGCACCAGCACACACAGAGCAGAACAGAGAACCAGCCAAGAAGAAAAGGAAGATATGCCTGAGTTAATGTGACCTTTGGGGCATCTGCTTCATCTGTGCTTGGCAGTACTCTTTGTCATACAGCCTGCACTGATGTCGGCGTCCTGGTCCTGAACCCACCGAATGTCCCTTTAGTCAGAAGGACTCTTCTGGGCAGGTCCTGCTACAGAAATGGCTGCCTAGGGATGGCCTTTTGCAAAAAGCACATGAAAGCCTGAGTTTAGGAACCTGCACCACTCCAGTGAAGCTCCACAGGAGCAAATAACGGAGCCTCCAGATGGAGCTAGGGTTTTTCCAAGGAGCCTTTGGTGAGTTCAATTATCTGGTAGATGTCAAGTGCTTCACCTAGAAGACAGTGGAAACTGGTTAGGATGCATCCACAACTATGAGCTCAGAAAGGAAAGTATGAATATTTGGGTAAAAAAGACAGTGGGTGGGACCACTGAGACTGCCAGGAATGGCAGCTTGTAACATTTTTAATAGTAAGTTTTCTGACCCACTCTGGCATTTTAGCACACATACTAAGAATGCACTTTCACTTTGACTTATAAAATAAATCTTTAAACATTTCTGGTGTAATTCTGAGAATGGGTCAGTATAGACTTAATCTTGGAAATTCTAGCATTTTCTTCATTTACTATGAACCACTTTCTGCAACAGCTCCCTTTATGATTTGAGTATCACATTAACTTTAGAATATGGCACATATTAAACGTAAATTTCTTCCCCAGGGCCCACAGTTCTAAATTACCTCCCGTTCTATGTACATGAGGAACAAAGACTGTGCTCACCCTGGGGAATCCCATATCTCCTCTCCATCCCTGTCGGGTTAGAAGGAGTCTTACAGTCCATGGTCACTTCCTTCCTGAGGCACTGGTCAATATCTACCGCACTGAAGAAGGCAACTGACTGGGGCAGGTCATTCAGACCCAGCTTGTAGGCAAACATGCACCTGCAAGAGACCCAGTCTCTGCTCACAGCCATGCACTGCTGCAAGGACAGCTCCTCGCTCCCACAGATCAGGTTTCTCCTGCTTCAATCACCCACACTTAGCAAAACCATGAAAGTGAAGGCTGTACTGCCTAACACCTCTGAGAATGAGAGACACTATAAACTACAATTAGGGACTCAACACGCTTCTCCAGTTTGGATATCAGTTATTGGAACCAAATATGAGAAATAAGTGCTGATTTTAAATATAACCACCACCCCAAGCCCGGGGAGAGCATGGGTCACAGTGCTGAACTGTAAATTTGTTATTTACGTACTTATCAAGATCGATCGGTTCTGAGTGGCAGATCAATGTGAAATAGTAATATTGAACTCATCCATATGAACTAGGATTTTTAGTGTAAGAAAATACAATTCAACAGGCGGTGGTAGCGCATGCCTTCAATCCCAGCACTCGGGAGGCAGAGGCAGGTGGATCTCTGTGAGTTTGAGGTCAGCCTGGTCTATAAAAGCTAGTACCAAGACAGGCTTCAAAACTACAGAGAAACCCAGTCTCAAAAAACAAAAAAAAAAAAAAAAAAAAGGAAGGCTAAAACAGTTAGTTCTGAGTTGACAATGCAGACCTGCTCAGTGGGCCCTACGCCCCAACATACCTGGTCAGAAGGTTGGTGATCTGCAGTGCCAGGGCAGCACGGTAGCGGTCCTCCTCCCGCACCAGGTAGCGGACCTCATCATGGATGCTAATGCAGAAGCGTCCATCAATGGCAAATTCCTCAAACAGCCACTTCATGGCCACAAGCATGAGGTGTAAGTAGTCCACGGCAGAGCTCTGTACCACCCAGTTCACACGGCTGGTCATGAACTAAGGGAGATCGTGGACATCCGTGAGGAAAGATGCACTTGCCAGTCTGCTGCAGTCCAGGGGTCCCGCCCCTTCTCTCCAAGGGTGACAAGAGAGCTCACCTCTCCCTGGACGACCGAGGGCTCCAGGGCTCTGCTGATGCAGCAGCCTAGCACTGGAGTACGTGGTGTGTCAGACATGGCAATGGTCTCCAGCTTGTTAAACATTTCTGACTCTGTGCCCCCCGTCCATGCTCGTTCAGCAGCCACCTCCCACTTCTTCCAGCGTGACCTAAGGAAACAGAACCATGAGGTCAGGCTTTGTTCACACCTCAATGCTAAAAACTAGCCCACACCAGTCCCTGCATCTTGAACAGAGAAGGTTCTCACTTCCTTAATGCTTCTTTCCGGATCTTTCGGAGATCCTGTAGGGAAACCCAGCCATCTTCTGTCCTGTCCACAGGGAGGTTCAGCTGTCTCACCAGCCATTCCCCCTCATCTGAGAGCCGGTACCTGTGGGGAGCAGCATGTCATTCCCACTAAACAGTCTCCTCTGCGACACACCCTCCCCTAGTTTCCCAAACAGCCCCTGGTGATGCTTCTCCCCCAAGGCCAACTTCAGCAGGGAAAACAGGTTCAAGGGGCTGAATGACTTGCTAACGTCAGCAGCTAGGAAGGGGCACAACATAGAAACTCAGGCTTTTGTGTCCCCAAAGGCCTGGGCTGTATCGTGTCAGCCCAATAAAGGGTAAAAACTCAAGCCATTCCTGGTCATACTGTTCCAGGGCTTGCCTGACACTGAACTGCCCAGGGACTAACAACGGCGTTCTATTAGTTCTGGAGACAGAAGGAGGGAAAGTACAGTGACCCCTAAAGGGGTGAAGGAACCTAGAGAAGCCAAAAACAAGATAGCCAAACCCAGCTAACTCCTACTGCCCCAGGCTCCTAAGGGTTCCAGAACCATGTCACCTATTTTATCAGGTGGGGAAGCATCAGGGCTTCTCCACAGTTTAAGGCTGCAGTTTAAATTCCTGTGATGTCTTCACTTCTACAACTAAGGCCCAACCTCCGTCCATCACTGTCTTTTTCTTGTTTTGTTTTCTGAGACAGGGTTTCTCTGTACTTTGGAGCCTTCCTGGAACTGCTCTGTAGACCAGGCTGGCCTTGAACTCACAGACCCACCTGGCTCCATTACTATGTCTTTCTTACCACAGTACACTACCACAACATGAATCCTACCTAGACACGGTCCACCTGCTCGGAACAGTCAGATCCAGTCGCCACCACACCCTACATCAGTTCCTCAGCTTTCAGTCTTTCTCAAAGTGAGGGTGCTGACTAGTTGATAAAAAAAACTAGGGTCGCCGGGCAGTGGTGGCACACGCCTTTAATCCCAGCACTCGGGAGGCAGAGGCAGGCGGATCTCTGTGAGTTCGAGACCAGCCTGGTCTACAAAAGCTAGTTCCAGGACAGGCTCCAAAACCACGGAGAAACCCTGTCTCGAAAAAAAAAAAAAAACAAAAAAAACAAAAAACTAGGGTCATCTGAGACAAGGGAAACCTCAATTGAAAAAATGCCTTCACACTGGCTTACAGACAAGTCTGGGGTGCTTTTTTTTTTTTGAATGAATTATGTGGGGGGGGTACAGCCCACTGTAGGTGGCCCCACCCCAGGCAGGCAGTCCCAGGCTATGTAAAAACTAGGCTTAGCAAGCCACTAAACAGTATTCCTCCCTGGCCTCTTCATCCATGTCCCCCAGTGATGGAAGAAAACCTGAGAGTTGAGCTGTAAGATGAAATAAACCCTTACTTCCCCCAAATTACTTTTGGTCATTGTGTTAATCATAGAAACAGAAACCTAGGGGGCTGGAGAGATGGCTCAAAGGTTAAGAGCACTGACTGCTCATCCAGAGGTCCTGAGTTCAATTCCCAGCAACCACAATTATAGATGGCTCACAGCCATCTATAATGAGACCTGGCACCCCCTTCTGGCTTGCAGGCACACATGGAAGGAATGCTGTACACATAATATAATAAATAAGACAGTTTCCACAGTTACCAGCTATCTCGTGGGGACACTACACGGTATACCTGCCGCTCTACTGCTACCTCTCCTCCACACCCAAGCCTACCAAAAAGCCCGGGGAAGTAGCACTGGAGGAGGAAACAGAAGGCTTCTGTCAGGACTAGCCTGCACTCTAGTTCTGCATGTTTCTCTTCCTTCATCCTGTCTCCTCTATCTGCTCACTCCTGTCCTAAAGCCATGAGCATAGGACCCTGTCCTGTGTGTGTCAGCTTGATACAAGCTAGAGTCATCACGGAGTAGGAAAGGCCTCCATGAGGTCCAGCTATAAGGCGTTTTCTCAATGGTGGAGGGCCCAGCCCATGATAGGCAGTGGCATCCCTGGGCTGGTGGTCCTGGGTTCTACAAAAAAGCAGGCTAAGCAACCATGGGAAGCAAGGCAGTAAGCAGCACCCTTCCATGACCTTGACTCCTGCCTCCAGGGTCCTGCCCTGTTTGAGTTCCTGCCCTGTTTGAGTTCCTGTCCTGACTTTTTTCAGTGATCAACAGCAATTGGGGATTAATTACAGCTCTGGATGACCGCTTGATGACAGTGTACCCTAAGTACAGCTTTACACTGTAAGACGACATTACACTTAAAGCTAAACCATCCTGCATCTAAGTTTAGAGGGAGAGCACTCAAGGGAGGGTGAGAGATGGAGGAGAGCTGTAAAGCAGGCTAATGTTCTGGGAAAGAACTCACCTGCGGAGGCCCTTCGTGACAGCATACATCTGCTGGGCCTTCTCGGCTGCCTCCTGCCTCGTGAGCCTGTGGTTGAACTGCATGAGCAGGCGCTCAGCAAAGGACTGCCCAGCCCCATAGATCCGGCCGTAGTTGAAGACTTTGGCATGCTCCCGGCTGATGCC